TATTGCTCTACCAATAAATATTTAGCTATTGCGTTATCTTCGCGGCCATTACTTCACTTTGTAAGTAGAATTGTTGATGTAGTTAATACGAATTGACCTATAATTTGATCTGTGCTGCATCAGCCACAGGTGAATATATTTAACTAGTTATTTTACTTTCCTTTATAGGTTTTACTCTTCCATGTTATATGTTACTCGTTTATGGTAATTTCGGCTTGATACAAACGGACCTTTTTAGACTTTTTTACTTTTATTTTTTATATTTAGAATGTCTTATGTTTTTCTTCTTCTTTTTTACGTTTCTTAAATCATCATCATCATCATCAGCCTATACTAGTCCACTGCTGGACATAGGCCTCTCCCATGGCACGCCACTGAGCACGATCCTCGGCCACTCTCATCCAGTTTCTTAAATGTCAGTGGCAAATAAATCTTACGATAGTGTGTGCTAATCTTTTCATTTTCATAAATCTTTTCATTTTCAACTTTTATTATTTAATTTTCCAAATTTTCCATTAATTCTACCGCTCGACTTTCCGTCCTCTACAATATTAGTTTCCGTCGTCTTTACTGCTTCTTTGGGAATGTTCATCATTCGGTTCTATTCCCTACACTTTGTACTACTCTTTCATACATCTCTAACAGCCGTCATATCAGAATTTACTGCTTTCAGTACTATTGCCAAAGGTATATTGAAAACACCGAAGTGACCGAATATTATAAATGCGAATGTTTAGTGAATGTATGGATGTTTGATACAAGGTATCTCCGGAATTGATCTCGCTGAAATTTGGCATAGACGTAGAACATAGTCTGGAGGAACACACCAATGACTTTTTTTTTAAATTTCGTTTGGTTGGAGTTTAGTTTGATAAAGTAATTTTAAACCTCTATTTACGTAGTTAAAATATTAACGTTTAAATAATGTCAAATGTATATGGCAAGGGAACTAACGTGGACAGAAAATATTTAATAACGGAATATCTTGTGTAGAGAGCTCGCCGCAGGTAACTGAGCTAAAGCTTTCATATTACACCTAAAATATTTTCATCTAGCGCAACAACGTCACACGAATATAATAAACGTTTATCGGTAAATTTTATTTAATATCTGCAGTAATGTTTTACCCAAAAGGTAAGTATCATTTTATCCAAGATAAGAAATATATATCCTCATCTGTTATTTATAAGGGATAAAAAGTTAATCTTACTAATAAGCGAATGTTTAGATGGATGGTTGTTTGAAGGTATCTCAAGGACGGCTGAAAGGATTTCGATGAAACTTGGCATACATATAGATAAGAGTATGGGAGAACACGTAGGCTACTAATTTTTTTAATTCCGCGCGGATGAAAGCTAGTAAGTAATAAGTTTTACTCATATTATAAAAGCGAATGTTTAGATGGATGGTTGTTTGAAGGTATGTCCAGAACGACTGAAAGGATTTTGATTAAATTTGACATAGATGTAGAATAAAGTCTGGAAGGACACATAGGCCACTAATTAGGCTTTTTTAATTCCGCGCGGATGTAGACTCGGGCGACAACTAGTGTTTCATAATATTCACATCGACATGTTGCAAATAGGTTGAATAGTTAAATCGCGCCCGGATAATATTAATTAAATTTTAAATTACAAAACGACGACAACCAAATCTAGGGTCGCCTCATTTGATTCCTCTTGAAGAGTACTTTGTTTATAAGTGGTTATAAAATTTTTAGTTTTTATGTTTTTTTTTAGTTTTAACATGAAAATATTAAAGCTGCCTTTCAAAAATTTGTATGCAATTTAAATGGCTTTTTGTTTGTTTTCTTTCATAATAAAATATATTACCTTTATAAATTACTATCACGCTAGCTAGCTAATAGCTATCACGGTAGTTACTACATATAATAAATGTTGAAAGCTATAAAAATCGTGAAGAAATCTCCCAGTGGTGACCACATTTCGGCGATAGGGGGAGGGGGATATTCTGTACCCTTCCTCCCGGCTGTCAAGGGCAGACGACAAGGATCGCTTTAAGTAAGCTCGGGAGAAATCGAAGTATTTTATACGAGAAATTATAATCTTTAAACTAAATATACCTTTGATTTAAGCCAAATAATATGTATATTTTAGTAAAGCTAAAAAATAAAAACAGTTTGATTTTTTTCTTATTATTCATTGGGGTTATAATACTTAAACCAATTTTGTAGGTACTTTGGGGTATATGTCACTGAAATGGGCCTTTAGTTTTCAATTGCCGAGATTGTTGTCTTGTATTGTTTGCATTTTAATTGATCTACATACAAAATAGCTACAAGAGCTTTTGTTAAAAATGTTCAGTTTTCAAGAATACTTTGTTCAAACCAGCATTTATTACTTTCATTTTATTAACAGATTAAAAAATGTAGATTCTGAATTTATTGCATGTTTTTCATGTCTTCATTTTTTTATTGTAATAGTATATTTGTTAAGATAATTAGAAAATCAGTGAAGCTGGAATTGAATTATCGTATTTTGTTCAAATCATTTAAAAACATATTAATAAAAGTATGTATGTATATTAGCAGAAAAAATCGAAGAAACTTTCATTGCAAGGAAATACAAAAATAAATAAATAGATATAGATAAATGACGCTAATCATAATTCAACAAACTAAAGAAGCAAATATTATTGTATTTTTCATGTGTGTTTCTTTCATGTTTGAGGACACAAAATAATCTACTGCGTAATTTATCTTATAAAGATGGCTCTACGGTTCTAAGAAGTACGCAATTATAGAGGCGAGGCAGGCAGCTCCGCCGGGGCTGAGCAAGGCGCCCATTATGTAACACCCACCTACAAGGTCTACTTAGCGCTTACTTATGTAATTAAAAGTATTAGCATGACATCAAGCTGATTTACTATGGGATAAATATGAAAAAATGAACTAACCAATAGAACATGAGAACAGTCGAGTGCGGAACACACGTTTGTTTCGTTAGGTGGGTGTCGGTCCCGAGCTAGAGCGAGGGGCGAGGCCGGGTCGGGGCCCGGACTGAGCGCAGCCGCGGCGCGAGGCACTGCGCTGGGCCGCTGGGAGCTAGCGGCGTGGGCCTGGGTGTGGGCTCGGGGCGCAGTCAGGTGGCGCAGTGGCGCGGCGCGGCCATGGCGGCCATGGCGGCACTGCCGCCGCCCGCCCCGGCCGTCAGCGCGCCCGCCCCGCTCCCCGTCCACCCCGCCCGCCGCGCCTGCGCCCGACCGCTTACCATTGATCAGCCGGATCCCCGATTCCGATGAAATGTACGATAGGTCGCGGATCTATTATCGAAGTGATAACCAGTGCGTGTGATAATCCCATCATTCGTGCATTCGGTAATTAGCGATCACCCATACTTAAAAAATCATTCATATTCTCGTCTAAGTTCGAGTCCATCTGTAAATGTTCTAAGACAGATGCTGACCATATTACTTGTTCCTTGTCACTACTGTGCTGAGCAGAATTTTTTGTTGTAAAGTTTTAACATTTTGTATTCTATATAAAATCATTTAATACTTCGAATAACTAAAAAAGATATAATTTGTGAAAATATTACTCAGCAAAATTAATTTTGTATTAAAATGATTCGCGCAAATTAACTAGAACTCTAAACCAAAGTGATGACGCACGCTGACCCCAATCCGTGACAGCGGTTTTACCATTCGCATTTATATGCTCATGTACTTTATGGATAGATTTCGAATTTTTAAATTTCATTGCTAATTTTATTTCAAAGGTGTTGGAATTTCAAAGAGATTGCTGATTTATTTACAATAAAGCAAATACAATGAGCTAAAGCTACCTAAATAGGAAAGAGGAATTATTTCGTAGCTTTATTATTTACACGAAAACAGTACAGTACACCTACATTCCAAATTTACAGCTATTATATGAATCATAAATTCACTATGATAGTCAAGGAAAACAAATCAAGTTAATAGCATTTTTAACATCGTGCAAAGTACCAGTAGTTGTGAGTAATTTGGGGAAGCAAGCGGACCGCGAGGGCCCGCGCGGTAAGCGAGGACGGCACGCGATGCCGCACTCTTTGCCTACAACTGCTCACTTATTTGATCGATATCTTTATAATTGACGACCGAATAGGCTTGTCGGAATATCTTACGTTTTAGCTTTTAAATGTTTAATTTCGGATAAAACCATAATTGATGCATTCACCCTAATGTTGGGTTAAATAAATTCTTTGAAAACAGTGTACGGTAAAAATACCTACACTAAAAAGTGTAAACTAAGATTGAAGACCAGAAAATCTTAAAACCTTTTTCTTTTTAATATCTCTTCTTCTAAAGTATTGTGGCGCAAAAGCCAGGGAGCTAAAACTCGCTATGTGATTGGCTCCCGCGTTTTCTCGCGCCAAAGACAAGGCGCGAACACTAATTGTCAATTACAAAGACTGAAGAGACTGAATTAATTGTAATGCTGTAACTCTTTTATTTAATATATTCGTGCATCGTAATATTTGTTTTATTATTGTTGCTGATATTGTCAACGCAGTCAACATTGTGACATCCGTATACTGAACTAAGAAAATCCATAATATCTTTTGTCAGATATTTGAGCATTATAAAGTAACTATATCGGTGTCAGACTTGATTTTGAAAAATATTTATATTATGATAGCTTAAAATGCTTATAATACGTAACTCTCCGAGCGACGACAGAACAATTTTAGTATCTCTACTTATTTGGTCACAAGAACTATTGTGCATTAGAAAGTAATCGTGACGGACCATAAATAGTCCTAAGTTTTGCATTCATGGACCCATTTATGACTATATAGGTATCATGTTACTACATCGTCTGATAAACATGGATATTGTTTACAGGTGAGTTTCCAGTGTCTAAACAATTATACAAAACATATTGCTATTTCAATTTTGTCAAAGAGAATGAAAGAGACAACATCTTAGTGACGCAGAAGATCGTACAAGATGAGGTAAAATAAAAAGTTATATTTGATTATAATAATGTAATTAAGAGTGTAAAATGCTGCTATTATTTTCATACAAATATTTTAACTTAGAATAAACTTTCACCATGTATATTCGAAATTAAGGATTTAGAGAACATAAAATGTGCACTCTGACTTTCGATCATAACAGAATAAGAATTGTCAAAAAACATACATTTGACAACGATTTAAACATTCGTATCAATAACGTTCAAATTAATTTTAATTTTTTAAACTAATTTAATAACATATAATAGTAAACTACATTATTATGTCTTTTTGATTATATAACTACTGAAAATAATTTATAACTTTATATATTAATTTCAAATGTATCAATATTTTAAAAGAAAGTACCATTTAGTACATGCATTTTGGATAAATGGGCTATGCACAGAAATACAGTTGAGAGAGTAATAACAATCATTTAAATATACTATACTGCTTAAATTAGGTGCCAATGATTTTATTTAGCTTATAATATATTGATTATAAATATCACAAATTATAAAATAAAAATTCGATACAAGATAAACACTGAAACAATTATGGAATAACACATCTAGAGGATTAATATCACAATGTCAATATATCTCAAATTGAAGTTGACATAGTTTATGTTATATGGCTATCTTCTATATCGGAGCAATTTTTGTATAATTTTACCATTTTGTTAATTTTTTCATCGCATACATCTTCATTAAACGCTTTCCAGATTTCAAACATTTGACGAAACGATCAATGGTTATCAAATTTGACAAAAATATACTTTTACCTGTCATGCAACATTTTAGGGCTACAGTAAAATTAACATTTTGACATTAATACACTGATGTTTGAGGGATGCTTAAAAACTTATGCTCTGGATTTATCAGCTTTGATGTACTTGTCGAGGTCAGCATCACTGTTAGGGTCGACCTGGGACAGCTGACGGAAACTCTCATCGTCTACAAAGCAGATCTCATGATCGTCAGGGTCTGCGAGGATGATTACCCTCACGGTCGCCTTGCCCGGGGTATCCAAAGATATGAGTGGAGTAAGGATCTTGCCGTTCGCTTTACGTACTTTCTCGTCTATTATCGGTTGCTCTTCAAACGGACAAGAGAAAGCGATACGACCGTATGCCTTCGCATGATTAACTGGTTCACCTGTAATTTGGCAAAATGTTTTTTTTTAATTTATTTGTAATTAAATTTTATTAACAAATCTTTGAATGGGATAATTTTTACGCGAAAAATTATTTTATTTTAGTAGCAGCTCTTATAATTTGTGTTTACTTTTTAATTATTATTGTACTTACCAATATCAACCAGTTCCAATTTAGCTTGGTCCTCAGCGAAACCCAAGACAGCGGATTTGTCTTTCTTCTCGTATATCTTGAGATTGAGAAGCCCGTTCCAGTATTCAACAGATCTGGTGAGGTTTGAGCAAGCAAGTGACACTTGCTTTACTGGATCTAGAGCAAAAAATATATTCAATAAATTTTTCGCAGTAAACATCAGTACTTCGCATAATTAAACAAAAAATCACTATAATAATATTTAATTTTGTTACAGAAAACTGAAAGACATACAATAATATAAAAATAGCTATGAACTACTTAAAGTAGGAAAAAACGGCCAAAACTACGAATCATGATGACGTCATCAAAAGTAAAGATTTAAAAAAAAATGTTGCAAAAAGTTGTGCAATATTTACACGCTATTTGATAGATCTATTCAAATGTTCTTGTGTGAATTATCAATTGACATTTGATATGAGACATCGAAAATCTAATACATGAAGAAAAATCTAACCTTTGCTTCCAACTGGAATCATACTGTCCTTTTCGTTGTGTTTGAAAAAACAGAGACAAGAATATTTGCGCAGACAAATATCACGTTATTGGGATTTCATAGTAAGGAGATTTCTGTTGCCATACACTTTATATCATATGATAAATATAAGTGACAAAACATGCAATCAGATAAAGATATAAACATTTGATATCTTAGCCATTTGTTTACGGAAAGTTATCATGAAACATGTTCATGTACTTACATTAAAATGAATTGTTTGTTATGCATAAAGCATTGTGTTGGATAGAATCTTTATGACCAATGTAGGATAAACAAAAAGACAACTCTATCATTTAAAATGTACCACATTTGCAACTTTGTCACAATTGTATTCTATTAGGCGTAAAGACACCAAAAAATCTTATACTAATTTCGACATATAGTGGTCACGTTATGAAGACGTGTCACATATATTCGTGCTAGGCCCTCAGCTTTGTTTTATTTCCCTGAATATCTTTTTTTTTGAGAGGGGAATGCTTTATGCATACTCTGTGCTCCGGGGGGGAAGCAGTAGTTATGTGGGATTCTCTTCCGGATGGGAAGCATACCCACTAAACCCCTCTGTTCCTCCTACGCATCATGGCCAGGCCACGGGCACACTTGAGATTTATTCCTGAACATATCTGTATATGTCTAGTGAAATGGGTGTTTCATTGATTAATTCTTATGTGCATTTAAATTATGATGATGCATATATTTTATTCATAATATCTCCAAGAACACAACAAATAAGGTGTGCCAAAAGGAAAATAGGCTACATGAAAATGTAAAATTCAAACCACTACTTTGGCAATTTGACCACAACAAAACATGAATACAAATTCATTAAAAAATTAGTGGAAATTTATAAGGATAATTGTAATACAAAAATCCATAAAAAACAATTGAACCTGAATAAGCAAGAGACAGAGGAACTTGTATTTCCCACTTGCGATAATTGTTTGTCAGGGCCATACAATGACTTTTGCTTAATATGCTTCTTACTTATTGAGGTTGAACTGTATATTAAATGAATGTGAAGTGGAGGGAATAGATATTAAATTGTAAACCAGTGTATATGTATTACACTATTTTTACCTTTATCTGTAGGTTGTGGCTTGTCAATAATATAAAACTTGTAACCTCCAGGTGCTTCAACAAACTTTAATCCATCAGATTCCTTAACCGGCCAGTTAGCAGCTGCTGCTCTCTTCAATGCTTCACTGGACTGTATTGTAATGCCACGGAAATCATTTCCTTGCTCATAATGCGTGATTCCATAGTTGTATGTCAACTCAACTACAAAATGATCATCTTCAGGTCCATAACCCACCATTGTCTTACTCCATCTATTAGCATATGGTCTGTAATAAAAATAATTATAGAATGAAATTTAAAAAAACTTTAGTTTGAGTTGATAAAAAATAACAAATTATAATGAATTGCAGTGACAATCTTGTTTGAAGAAAAATAATATTGATGCAAAACAATGTATAATTACTTACCCATTACAGGCAGCCTCACAACCTTCACTGAATTCCTCATGGCGGAGTACCTGCATAATTAAAAAAAATTACAAACTTTATAAATTTCAAGTAAAAGAATGTATTTTTCTCATAACATGATCACTAGCACAAAAGGAAAAGGAGCTAAATTCAATACCAACTACATACTTTTTAAGTGTATAATTTAATGAAATAAATGGTTATGGTAATTAGTTCCACAAGATGCCGGTTGACAAAGCAGTTTGTTCTAGAAACATGACCTTGTAAAGTGTAGCTACGTGCATTTATAAAATATGAATATATATAACTGATAAGTTCCGGGTAATTTATTAGTTATTATTATAGTATGATATACACACTTAAAATAATTTATGTTTTACCTTCATTCCGAGAACTTCTCTGTAAAATTTTGCTGTAAGTGTCCTGTCGGCGACTTTGAAGACGAAATGTAACGCACGTCCGCTAACCATTTTGATGATAATTTACTTTAAATATGTCTTATAACACTCTATAGAGCAAGAAAATAATAATTATAATTTTATTAACACTTACAGTTACACATAATACGATAAAAATTATAGACGACCACAACTCCAATAAGCACAACACGAACTGACTGACACTGACAAGTGACAAGTGTCAAGACAAAGCTTCAAGGCCAGTCATGTCAACCGACGTAATCGCATCTACGAGTACGTTCATAATTTAACGTGGCTACTTTTTGTCCATTGCTTTTGGGTTCTAATTCACTGTTATAAGGTATTTTTTGCACAATCAAAATATACCATTGAACTTCGGAACCTTTAGAGAATTATATCACTATCGCAATGCAAAATGTGTCATATCTACTATTGATAAGATAAAATGATAAAAGATATATTTAATTAGAAGATAGTAAACGTAAGATATATTGACGAGCTCTTAAAACCTTATTTAACAATTGCTAACTGCTAGCGATACATTTTCTTTAATACAGTAGTGTGTTGCGTCAACCTAACATATCTTTTTAGAACTAAACCCTACGAAAAGTAAAATCTTAACGTGTATACAATTACCTTCTTAAATTGCTTACAGAGGGATTTAAATATATTTAGTTATATTCTTAAATGCTTATGGTTGTTTAGTTTATCTCCAGACGTGCTGGACGTGATTTACGACCACATAATATTTGCTGATAAGTACGAGTCATGTCTTTGTAATATACGAAAATATGCGCATATGTTAAAACACAATATGTATTTGAAGTTCATAGTATATAAAATTTGATTGAAAGTGAATATAATTACTTTTTAAACTTCTTTGTGGCGCTTTGAAAAGAACTGACTATTGCAGAATAATCTGATATGGTAGACTTAGGAAAACGTCAGTTTCGCTTAAGAATTTGCCTTCAATCTATTATTAGTTCATGGAACGAGTTTTCATAAAAAACCTACTTTTGCTACGACCTACTTTTTTCTCTCGTAACATTTAACTCTTAATATTTTCCAGACCTAACACGAATTCAGGAAGGGAAAGGTTATGACTTAAAATATTTAAAAATAAAAACGCATAATTCAATAATCCACATAAAAACTACATATAATTTCATACAGAAATACGGTTAATATATTTTTTCTCTTAAGGCTAAACTACAATCATATTTTTGTGGGTAAGTCATATTTTTTTTATATTTTCCCATATGCAATAAATATAATCTAATATAAATCTCATACGTAGATACAATCCAAGATTTCTATTGTTTCAGCTAAAATCTGTAAATATTTAGGTCTCATTTAGTTTCTATCAGGTATTCCGTTAAACAGGATATGATTCAGCAAGATTTTTAAAGTAATTTTATCGAAATATCTAACATTAAACTTTATAAATGGCTATTCATATGCAAATCAAAGAAATAATAGACATAAATTATATAATTTAAATAAATGTGCTTTTAAATGCAAAGGCGAATTGTTATTCAGCCATAATAAGTTGATAACGTTAAGGACTAGAATAACGATATAACGCATTTTATGCGTTTTAACAAATTCTGAAATTTAAATGGACATTTTCCGAATCTCTATTTAGTTATATTTATTTTGAATGATATAGAAGTTACAATCGAATGATAGTTTTTGCAGGTACATAAGTGGTTATATAATATGTAATAAACCAAAAAATATATATTGTAAGTACATGATAATAATAATTTAAGGCTGATTTAGACACCTTACAAAATTGACTATAAATGTGATAGATTAAACAAAATAATCAAAAATCAGTACAAAAACAAGAATTATAAAAATTGTAAAACATAAAGTCTAAGAACCATAGTAAATGCTTAGAATAGGCTTTTTTAGTCTGTGTATTTCGCTGTAGATTAAATCATAGTTTTTTTTTTATAAAGAAATAGGCGCGAATAATCGTACTAGTAAACAACATGTATATTAAGCATTATCAACACCTACAAAAATATCTAGGTTAAGAATTTCAATGAAGAATGAAGAATCTAAAATATAGATCTTTTCACAGAAGAATTCAAGTTCGTAAGAAACAAGAATGTCAACAGATTATATAAAGTCGTAGGTAAAAGAGATGAAATTCTCAACCTAGAAATATTGACGAAATTTATACATTGAATAATATTGGAATTAACATAATTTATCTAGTTAACAAATCGTGTTCGCTTAAGCAGTGCATAGTTCAGTTGGGTTTCTCGGTACCGTCCTTGTCTTTTTCCTTTTCCTTCTCTTTTTCCTTGTCTTTCTTCTCCTGTAGTTGTTGCAGGTGAGCCGGTAGAGCTTTCAAGATTGCATGAACCTATTCAAATAAAAAAAAACTTTATTATCTGAACTAATGACGATACAATATTTGAACATTACACAATTGAACCATTTATCTTGTTAAAAAGATTATTCGAATGATTATTTAAAAATTAATAAGCAGTGTAACTGATAAAAGCTTTTCGTTTTTTATCTGTATTTTTTTGTTACCTCTTCGGCGACAGCCATGAGCACAAATTCGAATTGTTGCTTGGTGGCGACCGTGCGGGGACGCTGGTCGCGGATGTGCTCAAGGGTTGCGGCGATGTCAATTTCCTTTGCGCCTTTTGCCATTCGGTTCAACACCATGTCGATCAAGCAGTAGGTGCCTGTGCGGCCGGCGCCATCACTGTTCATAACAGTTAAAAGGTTTCAGCTTCTACTATAAATATAATATTTTTTTCTTTTACTTTTATTTTACGTTGAGAAGTATATGCATAAAGTAAAAACTAAACTATACTTCCTATTAATTTTCAAGTACATACAAAACTAACAAAACAGTTTATCCTGTTATCTTTAATCTTTAAAATAAATTTAATCTTTAAATATAGGTTAAGAAAGTCATGCAGTTTCGCAGAAATGTCGTAATGAATGACACGGCATGACAAACATGACCAACTGATTTAGTTAACAAGTTCTAGTCTTACAAAAGGTAGGCAATTTCCTTTTATAATTTAATTTGAAGCGTCAGTGGCTCAGTGGTCTAACGCTTGACTTGCAATCTGCAGGTCCTGGGTTCGAATCCCGCCATGTACCAATGTGTTTTTCGATTTCCGATTTACATATGTACATTTATCCGAGGTTCTTACGGTGAAGGAAAACATCGTGATGCAACCTGCACATATCTGAGAAGAAATTCAAAGATATGTGTGAAGTCAACCAGCCCGCAGTGGGCCAGCGTGGTTGACTATGGCCTAGTGACCCCTAACTTAGAGTAGGCTCCGAGCCGCTCGGTGGAGACGTATAGTGAGCTGATGATGATGATGATTTAATTTGGTGTTAAATACTTTGTGCGTTGTTCATCAAAGTAATAAACCGCTCTTTGTTCCCTAGATACTTAAACAAATACGCAATCATGTTATCAATGTCTGGTTCACTGACTGTCTAGTAACTAATCGTGTAGATCGATCTTGTGACTGGTTGATAGTCGATCTTACTGATAAAAGTTACAGCTCATCACGCCACCACTTCGTGATAGACATACTGAAGTATGGAATTTTCTATGTCTATGTTTTTTATACACCTTATTTAACTGGTCTTGTCAGTGCCAACGACTCACCTGGCGAGTTCAATTTAAAATTCTAGTGGCACTGTATTTGTTAACATGTATTCCTTTGTTTCTTGTTGATATTAATACTGTTTGTGGATAATTACGAGGGTCCAAATGACGTCATATCAGTCTAGGTATAATAGAATAAAAGTTTGTACAAACTGAGAGGAAAGATGTAAATGCATGGAGGCGTATCAGTGATTGTCACGTTGTCGTGCACGCGATGTTTATTTTTTAAATCATCTTATACTATATTAAGAATATATCTTTAAATTCTATTCTATGCTGGTATAAATTGAGCTGAGTTGCAAGTCGGTTTATTGATCAGCTTTACACATGCGAACCGTGAGCTGATCTGCAGGTCATCATTTTAGTTGAGTTACTCATGACTACGGAGCTAAAAATTACATTCAGTGATTGTAAAACTCCGAAGGCCTTGAAATGAAATAATGACTTTAATATAATAGTTTGTGGAAACATTTTTTAATGATATTGTTTATCTTATTTCCACTCACCTGCAGTGCACGACAATAGGGCAAGATCGTCCACGATACGACTTGTTCACCTTCCTGGAAATAAAAACAATTTCATCATTAAATGCAGACAAAGTCTAAGTCCAGCTAGTAATTGATGATTTAATTATTTTTATCCTACCTCCTGAATTCCAGCAGAGCCTTGGTGGAGGCGGGCACACCGTTTTCAGGCCAAGAGAGGAAGTGGAACTGGGTGACTGTGCGGGTCTCGCCGGTGCGCTGGTTCTTTAGGTAGAAGCTGCGGACTAAATAGTCATCGCACCAAATGTGCTCGCTTACCAGGTGTACCTGTATCATACAAAAACAACATTAAGTTAGAGCTAAACCTAGATCGTTTTTTGCACGTTAAGTACTTGACGGGCCCAACAAACATAAGGTTACCAAGGAAGAAAGAACCTAAAGTGACTTGAACCCAGTTTGGTGTTAAACATTTCTAAAAAGATGTTGTAACCGTCACCCACACATGTATGAATCCAAGCGTCGCGATCTACAGATACTGTTGAGAAACTAAAAATTACTGAAGTTAAAATTTTCTATAAAATAATACCTCATAGATGTGGTATAGTTCAGATCCTTCTTCCGGCCAGTAGCGGTGGCAAAGTTGCTGGCCGTTCTCGGTGAGCCGTGTGAGCATGACCATGACGACGCTTCCCTGCTCCCACACAAGTTGCCAGAAGTCGGGCGCAGTGTGAGCCAACGGGCCAGCCGCCGCGATGTACGCCGGGTTGCGAGGGTCGTGGTCAGTCTGGAGGACAAGAGAGGATGAAATTATAAGTTGTATACACCTACGGGTATAGGCTTCTAGATTGTCTATAGACATGGCTTTCAAACCTAATTACTCCAGTGGTATTTATTAATGAACGATTCCTGGAATACCTTTACTGCTTGTTGGATAATGAATAGACTATACTAAGAGTTCGGAATACCCAAAACAATATAACTTAAACAAAATATATTTTAGGTTAATGTTTCAACAGAACGTTGTCGTTGATAATACTTACAATAGTAGAAGCATTGATGTAGTCGGATCCGAGGTGGTTGGTCAGCGTGTTGAGGGTGACGCGGGAGTGGTCGTAAGGCAAAACGTCGGGGTATCTGTTCTTGCCGGTGTTGTCAGGTCGCAGTGCCGCTGCGGTCGCGCTGGGTTCCGCCTCGTAAGCGCAAAGCGCCCGCCATTCTTGTTCCAAACGGTCCTTGTTGCGCAAGTGGTCTTCCATGTATGCCTGGTAAAATTGTTTAATTTAATATAATATTATAATTTAATTAAAAAGAATATCCTAATCGAACAAAGTAGGGATGTTACAATTGAAATTATTACTGTAAACTTCCATTCTCAAAAGACTTGCATAAAACTTATTGTCACCATTTCATTCTGTTTTAAAAAAAGATAATAACAATATGTTTTAATTCAATTTTGTCCTTATTGTAATAAAATTAATAATGTAATTATTCTGTAAATATAATCGCTGCGATTCGCACTATGATATTTAATAAAATTAGGTTGTCCTTCATTTTATTCTTTATCAGCTACTCACCAAGACCATGTGTCCGGTCGATATGTCCATGTTCGTCAGAGCGGGTTCCTCGCTCCTAATAACAATGTAATCAGTTACACATATGAATCATTTAATAATTTAACAAATAAAATGTTCAGGATTGGATTACTATAACCACGACAAATAAATAGTTTTTTATCGAACAAAAAAATAAATTACAGTTCTTACTTTGCGACAAAATGAAAAAAGTAATGTAACAATATATCTAGTAAAATTCCTTTAATATTAAAATATAAAGGAAAAAATCTGATTCTTGCTTGCTTTTACAAGCGGTGTATTAATAGTTGGTCAAAAATGAGTTATCGGATAGTCCTACTGTTGAAACACGCAGACGATATAAGAAATTTAAAACGTTATAATTAAAACGATAAAGAATTTCACGTACAGTAAATTCTAAAGGAAGTTTAGTGACACTGAACGAGTTATAAAATGTTTTAATTTCACCATCATCATCAGCCTACTTTTGTCCATTGCAAAATCAATGGCGTCCCCAATGCCTTAGGTATGCGGTCCTCTACGCGCCTTATTAATTTTTATTCTAATGGTTTATACTTTAAGGTAATTTTTTACCAGGAGGAGGTGCTAGAACGCGTAGAGGGTGAATTGCCCTCAGGTTCCTTGGATAGGGAGGTGATGCGCTGCGGAGCATCTGCGTGCGGGGGCGCTGCGGGCTGTTGTCCTGACCACTTCCCCGACATGCGCGCGCGGCATAACTCCTGAGCACCACGCAAATTATGTTGTTAGTTTTTAAATATTTTGTTTTGGTTCGAGTAACAATAGAAAAGCGTAGGAGAAAGAAATACATTAAGACTTTGGGTATTATTTTTAGACCGAAAGAATTTTCTTTCCTGCTTTCTTTCCGTCCCTAAAATTGTCTCATTTAAAAAATAACTATACATTTATTAGTAATTAAGTAATTCTCTATTTATTTTTTGACACGTTAATATTCATGGAAACTCACCTGGTAATCTCTAGTAGCTTCAGCATCGATATCTGCCGCAGAAGCAAGACCGACCATTTTCTTCTTAGCGTCAATATCTCTCTTTAGCATAACAGCGAATATTACTGCTCCTACAACCACTACAGTGCAACTCCCGATCAATGTCAGTAATATTGGCAAACCGTAGTCAAAGTATTGAGACCCCACTTCATCTATTTGACTGATAACAGGTCTCTTACTCTGTGAAATAAGAAAAAATTGAAGTTATGTGCTAATTATGAGCTGTAAAAGTTAGGTATAGCAAAATTACCCGGTCACCGACGCCTGTAGACAATACTAGAGCGCCAGTTTCTCGACGTAATACGTCTTTGATGTCAACTGTAAGCAAATTCGTTACGTTAGCTTTTCATTTATCTCCATTCTCGTCAGCTTCTAATAATTAATTAACAATTAGGTAAACTGTACAAGTAAAAGTTTTCAGTATATAAAATTGCTCGAGTTTAGCTCTATTTTCTACTTCGATATATAAAAATTACATTTAAAAAAAATAACGTTTCTGATATCTTATCCTCGTATTTTTATATAGGATTTGAAAATCTTACGAACCCACGCGTTTAGCGACCTCTTCTGCATCGTAACCTTTGCTGTTTTTCTCTACTTTAAATGTCACTTCGCTTGGATCGACACTGATGACGAAAAAGATTATTAGGAAATGTAGAAACAAAGTAGATATAACAATTTATGTGCAAATAATTAGTAAATTACCGTGGATTAGTGAATGTGTCCTTTTCCAATCCAAGCAATTCTTCTAGTTTTGAAATAAAAGCTAGACCCTTTTCCCAGTCTGTTAAGAACCTGATAGTAGAAATATAACTAAATATTAAATACGTTAAACAAATAAAATGATGAAACTAACTACTAAATCTATTGAAGTCTAATTAGGCGTAGATTCTGATAAATATAATAAACAAAGGCTAAAAAATAAAATTTTACCTGTTCTTAAACAGAACGTAGGTATATGATGGGTCATAATCGTAATCATTGTGATCATGAAGTGCCTGAGATAAAACTTGGTCTGGGACTCCTTTAGCTAAAAACAAAATTTCTTAAATTAGTCATAGTGTTTAAAGGCAGATTTTAAATATATGCGTTATTATACAATTCATATTTCTTCTGTGTTAATATTTGCTTCGATATTAGCTTAACGTTTATAGAAACGACGAGGAATTCATTTATACGGAGACAAAACATTAAATATCACGAACACACAAAGGGTAGAAAAAGATAGAATATAAATTAAAATAAGTAAATGAATAAAGGAGATTAAAAAACCACAAATATAGAAAGCAATTAAACCTATTATTGGAGCGAAACTCCATGCTTTTGCATTGACAAGAAACAAAAGGTGCGGACAGGGGATAACATTTAGTGCAGAAAGTCTAGAAGACGTGGCGGTGCAAATATCAAATGTAATAGAGTGATCGATTACACTCGGCCGCAGGTTACAAGGTCACATCGAGATTCTAAAACAGGTAGCGGGCCTTCGTGACACTAACCTGTCACCGATTTATTGTGGTACAATAACTTTAGGGTTTTCGCGTCCAGACGCGGCCCGGGCTTTTTTACATCATCTCTTTCCCTACGCTTAAAGCCCCATTCTCTATTAAGCAAATCTTGTAATTCTTCAGATAAATAAAATTTGGAACTTTCACCTGAAACATCGTCGTACGTAAACAGTCTCAGTCCGGTGTAATCAACCGGTCCGAGGATTTATTTCAACCCATTTGATAGTTTGACATGAGATTAAAATATCTTTTTAATGGAAATCAATAAGGAAGGAAAGTTTTGGGTTTTATTTTGCAAATAATTTTGGTAAGATCAATCGAGTTTGAAATATTATTGTGCCTACAAACACTGAAAATAAAAGAGGAAGCAAACAAAATTGTTTTGTTTACAAGGAAAATCTGCTTTTGTTGTCTACTGTAAGGTTTTTTGTAAATTTACCTCCCATATCGTCGATTTTAAGTGGACCTCCTTCAGAATATATAGCGTCTTGTGGTTTAAGATCTTTGAGTCGGTGCCAATAATTTAATACATATTCCATGTTTTTAGACTTTTTACCGTCGAAGCCAGGTGTATCTGATAAAGCAAATTTTGTCTACACTATGTGAATTTTAAAAAATGATGGTATCAATGTTGTAATTCTTACCTTTTAAATTATAAGGGTCATATTTACCGCTGCCCGCATCCATAGCGGCTTCATCTAAGTCATCGTTATCGATATAAATCCTAGATTCTTGAATATCGCCAGGATTTTCATATTCAAATGGGAAATTCTTCTCTGCAAAACTCTGCTTGTATTTCTCTAAAGCATTCGAATGCACTTCAGCATCTAATGGAGAATAATTACTGGTAAGATATTCCGCCGTGTAGGGATAAGGTTTTACTTTCATTTTCCTGAAGTGAGCACCCAAACGCTCTTCGTCTGGAAATTTCTCAGAGTTAGATTCTCTGTTGGCGACCGCGAGTGACTTTTTCTCTTTGTCCAATGCGTTGAAATATTTTCCATTTTGTTCTTTAACATCCTTTTCTGCTTGAAGCCGTTCTCTAAAACCTTCGAAAGGGACTATAACAGGCGACTCTTCTAGACCGCTAACTAACATTAAATTTCTTATTTTATCGCTTGGGGTTTCTCCTTCCATTTCTGATTGCACTGGATGCAAATGATTTATTATATTTTTGGGATTGAACTTAACAATAATTAACAAGGAATTATAAAGCAAATTTACCTTTCGGAATAATGTAAGGAGACGGGTCATCATCCGGTAAGGGAGGGTTATAAACCTCGTTGGCATAATCTGAATCGCTTAACGCCGAATTCGGCATGAAACGCACAAATGCAGTTTCATCGGGTTCCATCTATAATTTAAATGAATGAGAACGCGTTAAGACTTAAAACATATTTTTTTACATTTACTTATGTTACAACTTACGTCTGTATCTTCATCTTCAGTTTCCGTTGTCGTAGTACTCAATTTCGGGTCAGCAAAATGTTCACATAACTTTGAGTTTACGTCAGTTGGTTCTCTAGATTATAATAAAATAAAACAAGTCATTTTAATTATCTGACTACACGTAATTTAAGAAATGCTTAAACAAGATGTTTCTTTAAGCATTATTTCTCATAAAAAAAAAAACAAAACAAAAATATAGCAATGAATCTGTTTTTACAGGCTGTCTCGATGAGATAGACTGAGGGTAAGTGTACAGTTTCAATGTTTTTTTTTAAATACAGCCCCAAGTGCACTTAATCTGAACCTTTTAAACGTAGGCCAAGGGCAGTGGAACTACTTGGATCACAGCAGCGTTTATTATTTTTTTAAAGTACACATTTTCTTTGTGCTCAATAGAAATACATATTTGAATAGATAACAAAATGGTGGTCTTATCATTAAGTTCCTATAGATGGCTTAGCATAGTAATTTCTTACACTTTATGCCTGAGCGCGTACAGCATGGCTTGCAGCACGCACTGCGTATAGGCATGCTCCCAGCGGTAGCCGCGCATCGCCAGCCGCTGCAGCTCGCCTTCGAACCACTGCAGCTGTTGAGAACTCATGTCATATCTGCAAGGACATAAATATAATTACAATTTTGTTACCAGAAAAGCTCAGTAGCATCAACTTTTATGTGACGATCAAGTTTTATGTGACTACAGATTAGAATTACATCCAATTAGTGATCTTTTCACTTTCTGTTCTTAATTTTCTAGTATCTGAATGATATGTGCCATCCCTAATGTTCATTAACATATGTTCAAAATTGTAAAATGTTTATAAATTGCTACGAGGGTATTCAGAGAAATTGTTAAAAAAGTAAAGTAACTCACTTGTAGAGGGAGCCATCTTCCGGTTCGCTTTCGTAAATTGACATGCATTTACCGAAAGCGAAATCTAGAAAAAAAAATTTTCTTTAGCCAAGAGTTTATTATAAAAGTTATAATATGACTTGTATAATGTCTACGTACCGTCGTAGCACCACTCTACTCCGTCGATACATAATGATGCACTGAATAGGCAACCTGTCGAAATTAAAAACAATGAAACACCTACAAAACTTAATTAATTAAGTAGAAAATAACTAAGTAAATAAATTGTCACTCCAATGTTTAAGTGAATAAAACATTTCGTTACATTTTGATATAACGTTAGTATGTTTTTTTTATATAAGAGAAGGGGGCAAACGAGGTGATCAACGACACCCATGGACATCTGCAACACCAGAGGAACTGTAGATGCGTTGCCGACCTTTAAGGAAATGGTATGCTCGCTTCTTGAAGGTCCTTTTTGGGCGGCTCTATGCCGCCCTCTCGTTCCCCTAACATGTGTGGGTCAGGGACCTGTGTTGAAAGTTAGTACTCGTATGATCTAAAGCAGATACTCTCTATCTATACTAATATTATAAAGTGGAAGTTTGTTTAAACGCGCTAATCTCAAGAACTACTGGTCCGATTTGAAAAAAAATTTGTTGTATAGTCCATTTATAGATGAAGACTTTAGGCTATATAACATAACGCTGCGACTAATCATTTTTTTTAATTCCGCGCGTACGGAGTCGCGGGTGACAGCTAGTTATTATTAAGAATGAAATACCAAGTGTTAGTTTGTAAAACCAATTTTATATAAGTATATACGCCTACCTTGCAAAGTATTGATCAAAATAAGTAGTCTTCTATATGTTATAGAGTTATTAAATTGTTTATTTGAAACAAGTTTCCGTAGCATTTAAACGTATAGCTTTTATATTGCAGCTACTCGATACGATCAATAAGTAACTTTATACTAGCACAGAGATCGCCCTTGCGCCCGCTGTCGGCTTGATTTACAGTAAAGGGCTTGTCATATTTACCACTATGATAGTTTAATAGTTATTACGGTAATTATGATGACAAATAATTTCACTAAGAGCAGAACTCAGTAATAGATCCTAATATGACTATAGTTATTTAGATGGGAGGACAAAAACGACTCAATCGATTCCTAAACGATAGATCCGATTATTCGATTGTTATTGCGAAACAGATCGGTTATATTTAAAGATATAGTTAATTAAATACCTTTGTCTTATTTTGTTATCCCGAGAGATATCTCTGTTTTGTCAAAGATAAAGACAGGGAAGTTTTATACAGAGATTTTGGTTCAGAAATCCACAGTTAAATAAGCAATAAGGGTTCGGTTGTAAATAGACTTCTATTGAATATAATAAACAACACAAATTATATACACAAAAGTACTTATTACTTTAGATTTAATCGCTTTTATATAGAAGTAGAAGCTTAAGAAACACATGTGTTTAGAATTATAATAAACTTGGAACAATTAAAAGTCAATAAAACTTTTGTTTAGCCAGCCAGTGTTACGATTAGCTTGTTACATACATCACGACGGTAGACGATACATCAACTATGATTGGTCTGGTGGTTACTTACCTATGTTACCATCGGCTCGCGTGGGGGGCGCCAGCGTGCTGAGCACCACCAGCGCCCACAGGGCCTGCCGCCGCCACGACTGGCTCATCACATCTGCGTAGTGTTAATGTTCACTTATTATAATGTCATAAAATATAATATAATCTTATTAATTTAAATTTTACAAATGCGAATGTTTGGATGAATGGATGTTTGTTTGAAGGTAGCTCTGAAATTACTAAATGGATCTCGATGAAATTTGGCATACATATAGAACATAGTCTAGAAGAACACGTAGATTACTAATTATAATTTTTTAATTCCGCGCGGACAGAGTCGCGGGTGATAACTATTCGTCAATATGTGATCGGATTAGGTGTCGGTGAAATTATAAATTAAGTTTTTTTTAAACCCTAACTGTGATACTCACAAAATAATTGTAGGTTTTCAAAACTGAGATTGAAATGCTACTCGTAATTTAGTCCGAGCGTCTACTGCCACTACTACTTGCTTCATGATTTTGTTCAAACTCTTTCTCTTAAGTGTTTCTAATGTATTTATTTTGGGTGTTGTCAATGTTTATAAATAATCCAGTTTCAAAAAGTGACTTAACTCAATCTGATATGTTGGCTATCGTTTATCAAATGTTTACGTGTTAAGGTGATGGTTAAATCTATTTGTCATAAAACTAATACATTATTTAAATATTAAAATGCTTAAATTTTAACTTCCATAAAAATATTTACATATTTTGTTTACTACACGAAATTATAAAATTAAATTATACTACGTTGTTTCCCCGATCAAAGTCAAAAGGTTGATACGTCTATTATAAAACGTTTTAACCAAATTAGTTTCAATGCATAAATTAATCTTTTTATTTAAATTAATATGATATGGGAATTAAGTAATTAAACTAAAAGATAAAATACCTCTACCGGCTAATTTTTTATTGTTTTGAATAGAGAACTAATAAGCTTTAAATCGTAGACAAATATCTATGTTTAATAAAATTACTTTCAGAAGACTTTCATTTTATTTGGATAAATTGAATAAAATAGATTTTTTTAAAGTTTAAAAGTTTAGTTCAAATTTGGGTTGTTATTGTTCTTATTCGGTTAATCATGACAGTTAAATATCCATATTTTCTATTTGTCTTAAACATACTCAATGGAACGAATATTATTTAAATATAAATTTTAAGAATGTAAAAAAATGACAGGTAGAATATCTTAGTAATTGCAATAAATTGTTAAAATTTTAAACCCTTAAATATATATTTTTTTTTATATCATAAGGTGGTAAACGAGCGAGCGGCCACCTGAAATCGCTGATATAGCGAAGTGACCGTTGCCCATAGGCATACGCATTGCATATGCGTTGCCTACCTTTCATCGACGGAGGAGAGGATGCACAGAAAGAAAGTATATTCCCTTTCCATGCATCCTCTCATCCGGAAAGACCACTTCCACTTCCCATCCTTTCCTTATAAGAAAAAGGTGGGAAGGGAAAGAGGACTAAATTAGGCCTTCGGGACGCACACTCATCAGACGAAACGCGGAATTGCTTCCACTTGACGCCTGTCTTCTGTGTAGTCGTGGTATTTCACCGGGCGAGCCGGGCCAATTCGTGCGAAGATGTTAAAGCGGGTTCTACCACTGTTCGCGAAAATCGCAATAAATATCGCATATAAGGCGATACCTTTAATATTCAAGACTTGTTTGTGGCTCTACTTAAGCTTTCCATAAATCTCTAAAAGATATGTCTGAAAAACAAACAATCTAACTATAATTTTATTTCCAAGTTAGTAATATTCCAAGTATTATTAGAAGTGATATATTTAACTTAGTCAATGTAATTTATAGCTGTTAATATTGTAGTTTGCTATCTTAAAACGATCTATAGATAACTTGTAGCTAAGTTATATGGAGGCCAGTGACGTAGGCATCTGCCCTTTACATCCCACGCATTTCGTGCTACGAACTGGGAATATATTGAACGTATAACAAAAGCTTTAAATGTTTAAACATTTAATTTACTTTAATTTACATCTAAATAAATATAATAAAAAATAAAATAAAAAAAAAACAAATTATTTATTAAAAATGTAATTTAACAATTTTGTAAAAACTATATTTCAGTTGGCTAGATTTTTACTATAAGAGGGTTATTTAAATTGATTTGAAATCTTAAAATCAACATGAGAAAAATTCGTTTATAAACAAACACAATCACATAACACTTCACTAACTTGGACATGGAATGGCGTAACAGGTATCAGCAAAAAGAATAACTAAGCAATAGACTTTTACACTTTACAATAAAAGTAAGCTTAATTAAATTAAATTAAATGTACTCACCGTTTAGAGACAGCAATTAGTCCGGAACATATCGGTTGCAAGTTTCACTGGTATCAGTCGACGTCTCGGTTTGCGACGCAGGTCGGGCCGGGGCGTCGGTGTTCTCGATGCTCGCAGCTCGCAGACAGAGGCGATGGCGCGGACCTGCGCACTCCGCTCTATCGATCCCCAGCCGGCCTATTCACACGCGGCCACTTCGCCGCCTACATAACGACACCTTCAGAATCCATGTTATACTTCAATCATCATTAGATAAGCGTTATAAGCCAAAGCTTTCACAATTATAACACTTAGAACTCTCGATTGCACTTTGATCCCGATCTGTATATAAATATAACGCTGTATACTGTAGCAATGAAAGTAAATAGATTTATTTATATATTGTCAGGCGTTTGCGATGATGACTGGGACGTAATGGCGCCCTCAAGTTATCGCCAGAGCAGTTCCCTGCATGCTAATGACGCGGTTACGCGATAACGCTTGTCGGCCTAGCTACTAAGTTTGCTTCTAATTATTCCATGTTAACTTCAATGTCAATATAAAATAAGTTATTTCAAAGCTTAATTATCTATGTACTGCTTGTACTTAATTGAATGGATTTAAAGTCGTATCTGAATTCACGCCTTCCTTACACAACGCTTTCACACAATCCCTCTATACTTTCTAGTCTAGTCTAGTCTAAAGCTACCCCAATATCCACTTTAATTGTCATGTAATTACTGTTAGGTATATAAACAGAAATAAAAATTAAATAAAATTTATTTTATCATAATAAAATGTCCTCATGGAAATTAATGAATTTAATATGAATCAGAAACGCGTAGGCGGAGCTCCGAGGTAGAGCAAACCTACGCGCTGTTGACAGATTGAAGGAGATATTTATAAACCAAATCAATACCTTTGCCCAGATTCCTGTCTTAAATCACCTTTTGTTGATATCTTATTATTATAGCCAGTTACTGTGGGTATGTTTTTGATCTGTTTTTTATACTTCTGTATTTTTCAAACTAAAATACAGAAAATATAGTTATTTTTTTTTGTATTTTAAATTGAAAATGCTAACAAATTTAATGCTCATCGGCACATTTAAATTTCTCTCCAAAGCGATTTTTTGAAGAGTTGGGGATGAGATGAAACGTTATTTATGTTTTAATTTTAAATGTCATCTCGTTTATGGGATAGCCGCTTCATTAAAATGCAGTCACTGAGTTATCTGGCATCCGTTTTATTAAATTCTCGCTGAATCGTGTCTGTTAAGTCGCATCTGCGTTTTCTTATAAAATATTGTGAAACTTATGTAACGTAGAAAATTCCAAACACTGTGAATTCCCATTATATAGCGAAGAGTGTTCCAAGTTTTTAATCAGCAATGAAACGATTTTTTCAATATCAAAGTAATTTCGTTGTGCGTGCCTTTTTAAAACATATTTCTCTTTTCTCCTTAATTATTAATTGGTCACTAGAACCTTTGACAAGTTTTCAACTAATGTGTACATACCTTTTACCGGTTAAAAAGTCACGAACGATATTAGTTTTCACCGTCCGCTATAGATTATTGGATAAACATCGTTATCACTTTAGTTATATATGTAGGAAGCAATATAACTTGAATATTGATTTCCTGGGCCTATGCATAAATATAGTTAATTGTATGGGTCAGAGGTTAGAAGATGTAGTGGGCGATCACACGGCTACAAAAGGGTGGCTACGAAATATAATGGAAATATTTCAGCTGACATTTTCACAGAGACATTGTAATAAAATAACAAAACAACAATTTGTACATTTTGTCACGAGAAAGTTAACGTCGATAGTTAATATTGTATAAAAATAATAAATAATATCACATGTTTTTAAATTACTCAGTAATTGTTACAGAAACCTGATACCAATTAATATTTGTATACGTCTACTGGTAAATATCTCTGTAAAGAGTAGCTATATTCTAATTGGATTAATTATAACTTTAGAGAGACCATGTTCATTTATAAGCTTTTTCCGATAAACTGTATGAAAATTAAATACTAGTACCTGGATGATCGAGCTTTACTCGGTATTTTTTTTTAATTGTGTTTTTTAGAAATTATATTTAAGTACGATTTACTAATAAAATGATAAAATATGAATAATATTTTTCGATCTTACCCGATAGAAAAAGTTGAGTTTATGTTTAAGTTGATTATCGATAAAACACGAATAAAATTACATTTTCTAAAAATGATTCCTAGCTAGATCTATTTATCGCCCCCGAAACCCTCTATATACTAAATTTTATGAAAATCGTTGGAGCCGATTCCGAGATTCCAATTATATATAAGAATTGCTCATTTAAAGATATAAGACAATTGAGCGGGGTATAAGAAACCTTTTTTTGTGGCATAATAGACTGTTTTGTTTTGATCACGTAAAAAGCAATTGATGTAAAAGTCGTTACATTTTGCGGAGTGTAAATAAACGATCAAGTTCAATGGCCCCTATATTCATGTTACATCGCGACCTCCCATCAAATCGATAGTTTTTTTTCTTCAAAATATTCATAGTATGTTTATGAAGTCTACCGGTGGTTCTAGTGCAATACTTTGATTTTATAATGTACTCACTATACAGGACTATAATCTTACTAATATTATAAATGCGAATGTTTAGATGGATGTTTGTTTGAAGGTATCTCCGGAATGGCTCATCTAATTTTGATGAAATTTGCCACACATGTAGAATACAGTCTGGAAGAACACATAGGGTACTTTTTTTTTACGCTGACGGAGTCCGGGGTGACAGTAAATAATTTATAATAATAATGCAATATGACCATCCGTGAGAAAGGTTAAAGTTGTAAGGAATCCAAGTATCACATTACTGTCTGATAAAACAAAGTATGGCAATAAGGCAACCGTATACTTTTATTATTCTGCAATATGCATCCATTTCTGAGAAAACAAATGAGGGCGACATTTTTATGTTTGGCTATATTTAATTCGAAACCGTAAATTTCTACTGCCGATTAACCTATACAAAAACATAGTTTTCCCTTTAAAAAATAAGACAGAGATATCTACATGTTTTTATTATTGCTTTGGGAATGAAAACCCAGGGTTACTTGCCTTTTCCTCTAAAAGGTAATATAAACAAAAAAGCGCATCGGTAGACCGCTTAGAGCTGGTGTTTCTAAATCATTGCAGTTAACAATGTCAAAGAGTTTTCATAGGTTATGTGAATTTTCTCAGGTAATTAGGTTAATAAAACAAAGATTATTAAGCATATATTTAGTCCTTTGTTAACAAATTATACACGTTGGTACAGGTTTTTATACATACTTCTGTACATTTTTACATGAAAATTGCTTCTTATTCCCCGTCTTGAGTAAAAACAAATCAAAGATTCGGTATCTGTATGAATCTAACGTGTACGTAATACGTACAGTTTGCTAATGTCTAGTCGGTAAGCTTTTAACATAGCGTTACAAAATATAACCTCAAAAATTTGATTTATACAAACATTCCAGTAAATTGAGACATCCGAATATATTACCATTTAGCGTAAGTTTCCACTAGCGAAACAGCCGAAAAAAATATATTGTTACTTCTATTTAATGAAAGAGAATAACAAGGATGAAAACATATTTTTATAAACACTTCAAAAGTGGAAACTAACGACAGTAAGGAAAAGAAAGCAATTATTCGCACCACGGATAATGTAACATCCAATAAAAGAAATTATTCAATCACTAAAAAGGATTCAAAGCCTTTTAAAAACAAATATTCAAGACAAAAAAACACGTAGCGAGTAATAAGACAACTTGTTGCATATCACTTTATGAAAAATCGTTCACAAAAACGTCTTTACAAACAACTTACTTCTCCAAACCAAATGTAAAAAAAACACTAACTTCTTTCTATCTTCTAAACGAAACAATTAAATATATGACATATAGTAAACTGCCAGTTATATAAAATTTTAAGAAAAAAAATCATCATCATTTTGTAAAAAAATGTGCGAGAGTACTTAATCAAAATTATATCCGAAAAACGAAAGTAACTAAATAATGTATTATAAACTGGTTATAAGGCATCATGTTAATTTAAATACATAAATATTATTAAATTCCTTTAATTCCAAATTGTCAAAGACAAAAAAACATATCAAATACTATTCTATGTGTCTATTAATTGTCTATGACAGTTGTATCCCACAATTTACACTGGTTTTCAATATGGCTGAACGACTCTCAAATCAATTTTCTGAACTTAAGCAAATACAAAATATAAATTTCAGTAAATGAAGTAAAAAGAACACGTTACCAATAACATGAGACTCGCAGAAGATACGACTATTTAGTTTTACAGTGTACCCAAATAAGTCTTGTTAATACATATTAAAGACAACAGTGACGTCATCTACTAAGGTCTTACGTTATTGTGCACGAGTTGTACAACTATTATTGGTAATATTATCGAGATTTATATATATATATAGTATGACATTATACTAAAAAAATAAAAATAAAAACATTGGCAAGAAAGTTATTTTTCATCAAAACAATCTTAAATTACTTTCTTCGTGATTTTTTTTTGGTATAAAGTTAAACGATATTTAAAACCATACTTATCCATCATTTAATTATTTGTGATACTCTTCAAAAATATATAAAGACTTATTTATTTGCATTTAAAGGGACAATACCTAAAAGAAATAGTATTTAGATATTGAAATAATTGACAATGAGCAAACAAACTTTACAAAATCGAAATTAAATAAACGTGCAAAATATATTCGGGTTACGCTAACAAAAGCTGCCACAATTCAACCTACATTAGATTTTATTTGAAAAAGAAAAAAAAGCAAAGGTACTGTAAAAAAAACTAAAAAAAGAAGAAAAAAAATTCAAACATATTCCATCAAAACTTTCTATTCCTTAAACTAAATAAATCGTATTGTTCCATTAATTTCTCATTGACTAGGCGTATTACCTTTTGTTCTCGAACCATACAAACATACCAACTTACATCATGCAATCATATATGTCCTAGTATTTATAACATAATTAAAAAACGTAAAAATATTCGAGTTTTAATCAAATCTCAATATCTTATTTCAAGTTTTTATTGGCATTTATATGTGCAAAAATATATATAGCACGAAATACAATCAGACAACTAAAATAATATCAGTTGGTATAAACATATGTAACCGTGGATTTTCACTGGCGGAACACTTGTAATATAATACGAAAAAAAATTTTTTTTTTCAAAGTGATAGAAAGGGATAGCGATATGTTTTTTTATATATCGCCAATGAAAATCCACGGTAATACGGATATTACTAATGTATTATTTAAACAATTTATTTTCATCAGTTAAATATAAATTAAAGACTAAATGAGTAAAATAAAATCCCTCCGTAACTCTATAGCCGTAAATTTGCATAGACAAATAAACATATTGCCATCTCGCTCATTCTCTTTGAAATAACAGAGACAGCATATGTTTCAGCTGCAACCATATTTATGATGTACTGACTAAAATACTGAGTATTATTGCAAACTACATGCACAAGTTTAAAAAATATATTTTTTTATATTTTTAAAAGCATTATTCTCTTTGTAAGATATTATTAACCATATTGCTTATAATTTCTATGTTTCCTTTAGACTTGTCTGTTTTTTAAGAACCATTTTGTTACAGCTTTGTCAATTTTTTATATAGACACCATATTTTTAATTTATAATTACTGTACATCTCAAAATCATAAACGTCATCGTTGACTTTGTATGCAAATTAACTTTTTTTTTCTTTGAATTGATTTGAAAAAAAAAATTGTCAATGTTTTTTAAGCGTCTATAATCAAGTTTAAATGATTTTTTACTTAGGAATGTAATTTATTTAGGTTTTGATGGGCAGGGGGGCGCGGGCCTGTGCGGTCTGGGGGGTTCCTCATACACTTCGTCATACAAACACGCGTTAGTATACGTCACTCTATTAGAATATCTCTCACCGTCACCAATTTCACTATAAATATTACTGCCATTATCCGCCACTTCGTCGTATTGAATTCCAGATGTTGTCGGATGATATGCATACGCGTATAAATCAAAATCAGCATTTTGATATTTAAATGCGGAATAATTCTTAGAATTTTCCAAAGAATCACTGAAATTCTTCAATTTCTCCCCTTCCTCTTCATATTTAGGTACGTAAATATTCTTTTCGTAATTATTTTCTTTAGTAGTTTCATTCTGTTTTGTATAGTAATCTTTTTCAAAGTATTGCTGCGAGAGATTCGGTTCAAAGTTGTATGTGAAGTCTTGTTTATAAACATCGTTGTTTGGTGAATATTTTGATGTAGACGGTGCGCTATAGTTAGTATTCGAGTAAATGTCAGTATTAGTATTCTTCGATCTGAGATTTAACGATTCAGATATTCTGTCGTCCAGCGACATTTGTGTTACGGATTTTATCAAATCTTTATTTGATTCTCTTCCACTGTATGTATTAGTATTATTAAGAGTGCCGTATGGTATATTATTTTGGTTAGAATAATTACTTCTATTTAATATCGATAAATTATTGGATACTTGTGTCTCGTTTTGGGTGTTATTTGAGTATATTTGAGATTCATTATTACTAGGTATCGTTTCGTTTAATTGTATATCGTAGTTAGATCTTGGTATATCTTGATATGAATTCCACACTTGAGAAGTTTCGAAAGGGTCTGAATGACCCACGAAACTTTGCTCATTGTGGGTAGATGAAGAAACGTTAATATTATCTAATGATTTAGCACCATATAAATTGGGGTAATTCTGTGAAGTTGAACATGATGGAAGACTTTCTATACTCGGTTGTCCCCAATTCGGTTCCTGAACTGTAAAATTATAATTAACACTTAAAATAAGGAATTAATGAGCAACAGAATTTGATTAATCGATTAAAATAACTTTATTGTTTTAATAAATAAGATATATTTACCGATTTCAGGCACATCAATAGGTTCATCCAGAATCGACGAAGCGCTGTCTTTCAAAGGTTTTTTTGTTGGTGAATTCACTTTTATCGACGGAGGCAGATCCAAGTCTATTAATAAGTCTTCTCTAACTGTAAATTAAGAATAAACAATATAAAATAGCTGTAAAAGATGTTGGTATGTTTCGTTTGTTACGAAATGTTAAATGAAAAAAACAGTGCGTTATATTATTTTTATTACCTATTTGGTATATAAGATTACGCCTTTTTAGTTCAGCAGAAATAGCAACGCTGCACTTAGTAACAAAAGTTAACTAACTAAGACGTATTTGTATAGAATAAAGCAATTTATACTTCATTCCATTTTGAAAGAGACTAGCAAAGTATGGTTGCCAATCTCTCCCAAACTAGAAGATAACCATAAACACTGGACACTGACCCAACCCGCTAAGGGAGAATCATAAACAAGAAACAACGACAACAATAAAGCTATTTTTTGGGTTCTGTACCTCAAAAGGAAAAAAACGAAACATTATAGGATCACTTTGGTGTCCGTCATCTGTCTGTCCATTTTTCTCAAAAACGCATGAAGGTATAAAGCTGGAATTTACATCAAATACTCGGGTCTGCGGTCCCTTGGTACTGTGAAAAAATGAATCTTCTAAACCAACGCAATCAAAAGATACAACCGTTTATTTACCTTGATTAAGACTCCTGGAATGGTTATCCCGTGTGTCTCTAGCGACTCTTTGTGCGCCGAGCGTTGCTCTGTCGTTGACCAATTTATTGTAATTAAAATGTTTGCTGCCGGAGTTACCAGCGCGCGTAGTTGGAGGCTGTGTCGATTCTATAGTACGACGCTTACGGAGTACGACCGCGGAATCGTCAGAAACACCATTTATTGGTGATGACGGGGAAGGTTGGACTAAAAGAAACAGGTTTTCCAATAAATAAGGATAAGCTTTAATTTACAAGTGACGTAATGTTAAAACGTAAAAATTGATCGTCTCAAGAACGATTTAACAGATCTTGGTGAAATTTAGCATAGGTAAAGAACATAGTCTGAAGAACAGACTACTTAATAAGATTTTTTTTAATACCGCGCGTACAATATCACGGCCGACAGGTACTTTGTCATAATTCTGAAAAGGCACTCCTTTTGTGTAAAATATCAAACCAAATGCAAATATAACGTTCTTGTTTGCTTAGTACCGGACGTCTTGTTATAGATAATTTCGTTTATCTTTTATTTACTGAGGCGTAGTTTAAAATTAACATGAAATTGAACGATTTTTAATTGTTGGTAACAGAATTATATATTTCTTACTAGTTCCTACTAATATTACAAATGCGAAAGTTCAGATGGATGTTTGTTAGAAGGTATCTCTGAAACGGCTAACAAATCTTGATGAAATTTGAAATGGTTGTAGAACATAGTCTGGAAGAACATATAGGCTACTATTTTTTTTATTAACTCCACGCGGACCGAGTCAGCTAGTCTTACTAGAATTATAAATGCGGATGGATGTTTGTTACAAGGTATCTCCAGAACGGCAGAACGGAAGAACGCATAGGCTGCTATTTAAGTTTTTTTTTTAATTCCTTGCTAACGGAGTCGGAGGCAACAGCTAGTATTTATATAATTGCGCGTAGTTCTTACTTGCATTATAATTGAATTAGATACGTCTATATACCTACAATAGTCATAGATTAGCGACTGTCAAGGTCAAGTATGGCAAGTTAACACTTACGTAACATATCAACTCGTTTCAATTATCAATGAAATGTCACATAAACACAATTAATGCTAATAAATGCATTCGTTTATACTAAAAAGATAAAGTTAACTACATAGGAATTGTTTCTTATTATACATCGTGTTATAATTTTCAAATTATTTATGTTTATTGTTAAAAGTTCAACCTTTTCACGGTAAAGAATGAGTGCAATCCTTTTAATAAAAGACATAGGTTAAAAAATTTGTAATCTTACTTCTTACTAATATAAATGCGAATGTTTAGGTGGATGTTAGTTAGAAGGTGTCTCCATAACGATTGCATGGATCCCGCTAATTAAGTTTATAAATTCCGTGCAGATGGAGTCGTGGGCGACAGCTAGTAAAAAATAATTGGTCAAGCAGCATAAATAAACAACTAGACAAAGCATTAATTTCAGTTTGTTTTCATATCAAATAACAGTTTATATTGGCTCCTAGCGGTATTTATTTCCTGTAGAGTTAAGTGAGCACTTTCGCACTAATTCGCATATCCTGTGAAAGGCGATATTCCTGTATCATTTCCTTTACATCTCCCCCCATATTTATATTCAGTTCTAAATGAAAGAATATATAGTAGTCAGTATTCATGATACATTTTTGTATTTGGGTTATAGATAAGGAAGCAATCTTTTAATACTTTGATTTTTTTTTAGTAATTAATTTAATATTTTTTAAATATTCTTCAATGAGTAGTCAAATCAAAAAACTCATTCTCTGTACATCATACGGGATAATACAGAAACGATATATTTACAATACTCTTTGCTTATTAAAATAATTTAACGTCGCGCTTACACTGGCAACTTTCTCTGCGCGATATTAAAAAAATAAAACTTTTTTTAGGAGACTATTTCTTTTTTCAGACAATGCTCTAAATCTATACCGAATTCATACAGTTCCAGCCGTTCCGGAGATACCTTCTAACAAACATCCATACGTCTATCTATACGTTTTAAAAAACAGTTTTAAATAAAAATACATATGCAATTAAAGTCAAATACATTTAGCGCCATTCTGTCATCATCCATAAATTATGTCATATTTACGCACTGACATTAGATAATTGGGCGCCATTCAGATAGAAAGTGAAACGGAACGTGACGGCGATGCAACAGTTGCTATTGCGAGTAAACAATAACATATTATGTTGGAACGCAAATGCAATATGTTAGCCAGTCACGCCGACAACACGACCTTTGCATTATAATGACCTGGGATTTACGCTAACAATATTGATTCATGCAACTAAATAGACATAATCTTACGTTTTATGCTAAAAAAAATATTGCATAATTAAAAAAAACTATATTATTTTAAAAATTGAGACCTGGATTCATATAATACTTTGCCCGTGACGTCATCCGCACATAATTATTAAAATCTAGCAATAAAAATAGCCTAAGTTACTCAGTTATAACTTAGCTTTCTTTTGGTATTAGAATTTTTGAAATCTGTTGAGTAGTTTTTGAGTTTATTCTTTACATACAAAAATACAAATCTCGTCTTTATTATATAGTTATGTTAAATCATAAGGTAGCAAATGAGCAAGCGACTACGCATGCAAGAGAATATTTCCCTTTCCGATAGACTCATACGTATCCGTCCCGTAGGGAATCCCCTCCTCTATCAAATCTATTCTTCCTCCCATCTACTTATATTATATATTTAATGCAAACTAGATATCGCCCGCGACTCCGTCCGCGCGGGGTTAAAAATAAACATAATTAGTTCCCGGCAATATTCGAATTTTTCTCACCTTTTCAACATTCTCTAGACCTCCACAAACATTTCAAGACCAAGATAACATAAATCTATTCAGCCGTTCTGCAGTTTTAGCGAGACTAACGATCAGCAGTTGATTTATATATATATATATAATGATGCTCAATACACGATCATATTTGTTAATTATTATGTAACAATTATAAATGGTACTTACCTTTTCTTATCGGCGAACTAGTTATCGGCTTCTTAATTGATGTCACATTTTTGCTTTTGGCTATACTCACTAATGTACTGAAAAAACAGGTTAAGTTTAAAAAAAAAACCATTTGTAAAACTTGTAGTTAAAGTAATGAATAATATAAACAATTTCCATTATTTAATCTCTGTGTGTGTTACAAGAGAATTTAAAAATTAAAAGATTAATATTTTTTTAATTATTAACAGATTTTTTTTTAATTTACTAATATTTCTTGTATCATACCAAATAAGCTCTAGGCTTGTGCTAAGGTATGGTTTACGAGAATAATCGAATAGCGGGATTCGAACACCCAAACTAGTGATAGAAAATCCGTACCCGTAACCATTAGGCTATTGACGCTTGAATATATTTTATATATAATTTTCCAAACCTGGGAAAGAGGCCGACTTCCAATGTCCGTATGTTCTGACCCTTCCACCAGTGCAACTCCGGCCTCTTATCAATCAATATGATCGCATCCCCAGCTTCTATGGTCATTTGACCTTGTTTATGGTAACTACAATAAGAAAAAAAATAAAATAATTTAAATAACGCATGTCACATTACCAGGAATTATTTTAACAAATCATATTAAAAATTAAATACATCTGTCATTCTTAAAAGGATAAATAAATAAAAAAACGTCTTTTTTGACCACACAAGATAGGAGTGCAATGGACACAGTTCCGCATTTTATCTAATGAGTGTGCGTCCGCAGGGCCCAATTTTAGTCCACGTTCACTTCCCACCCTTCTTATAAGGAAATGATGGGAAGAGGACGTGGATTAGGCGGAGGAGGGTACGTATAGGAAGAAGAAATATTCTCTTTATGTGCGTCCTCTCTATCGTTGATTAAACGTAGGCAACGAATTTGCAATTGCAGTTGTCCGTGAGCAGTGGTCGCTACGCTATTTCGGTAAATTCACGTTGCCGTTGGCTCATTTGCCACTTTTAATATAAAAAAAGGCTAGAATTGAATAGAATTAATTATAGGTAAATTTTCTTAGTCACCTTAAGCTTGCGATAGCAGTTTCAAATTTATTAGTTTCCATATATCTTTGTATGCCAGCAAAAGTTGGTCGTTCTTTAGGATTGAGGTCCCAGCACTGCATCATCAACATATAAATATCTGGTGGACAGGCAGCGGGGGATGATAACCGTTGACCTTCCCGCATTATGAGACGGAGGATCTCTGAACCATTTAAACCTAAGAAAGAACAATGAAAGTTTTACCACTTTCAGCGCCAACACTTTGAGTTTATGTGATACAAAGAATATAGTGGCATTGAATGTGTTAATATGATAGAGACACAAAACACTAAAAACTGGCGGAGGCCTTGACTTTGTCAGCACAGAATTTTAAAAATGTAGCCTATAATATGCCCGCGTGCATCAGCCACCTTCCACTCAAAGTCTTGTCATATTCGATCGAGGCGTTTCTGAGATTACCCCTAACAAACGCGGCCTTGCGCACAAACAGACAAAAATTGTAAAAATTGGTTTTTCATTATCATCAAAGTAAATGATTTATTTGACCGACATTACATACAGACACTCCTATTTTATTTATATGTATAGATATGTTTATTAGTTCTTATGATAGTTTATAATGATTAGAATATCAGAATAATTAGTTTATAACGATTGTTGATTGAATATTCATAGACAGGCTATCAATTTGAGACATGTCGTTATGTTTTGAATTTTGTTTGTTATAAAAACATTTTATTATGCTAGTAAAAGGCTCTTCCAATTGTTAAAATAAACACATTTTTCTTTACATTTACTTTTAGGTATTGCTTATACAATACATGAGTAATAATCATAATTATATTTTTAAATTCTTTGACTATTGTATACAAACAAAAGCTAAATAACATATTACATACTCTATGATATAAAGATGAAAACTTAATTATCAAGAGATTTCTATTTACTTAAAAAACATAAACCATCTGTTCAAAATACAAACATCTTAATTTAAATTGATTAATACATATTTCCTAGCTAAAAATTATAAAGGACTTACCCATCCATGGTTCTTCACCAAATGAATACATCTCCCATAATGCAACAGCAAACATCCAGACATCTGATGCATGTGAGAATTGTCTTGACCGTAATGACTCCGGAGCACACCAGGGGAATGGAACTCTTCGTCTCTCACTCATCACATAACAGTCATCAGCATCAGGCAATGCCCTCATAAGGCCAAAGTCACCTATTTTAACCTAGAGAAGAATGAAATTCTCCTATTATGTTGTACATGATCACCACCATATCAAACATTTATTATTGACTGTTTTATGTCAAAAACTAATCAGACCATGTTGGTATCTTAATATAATATACTACATTTAAACTTAAATAAGTAAGAATAGGATAAGTGAAAAACCTTAATAAACAAGTCATTGTTTGGTGCCAATAGTAAAATTTCATTATTAAGATAAAAATGGCTGTCCCCTGGATTCTTACTTATCCTGATTCAACAATAATTGGACAAACAATACTTACCAAATCTAAACTGGATAACAATATATTCCTGCACGCAAGATCCCTGTGTAAAAATCGTGATTTTTCTAAATAGGCCATTCCCGCTGCAACTTGTCCTGACCATTTTGATATGTAATTTAATGAGACTTTGCCATTTTGTGCCCTAATATAATCCAACAATGCTCCCATATTTGCTAACTCACACACCATCATTAAAGGATGGAATACAACACCATGTAACTTTATTAAATTAGGATGCTTCAAGCTATGCATTGCTTCTACTTCTCTTCTAAAATCATCATAAATCCCTGGCTGTGAGAAAGCATCAGCTTTGAGCACTTTTACTGCGACTGGCACCATCTGACTTGACTGATCTGATACTCTCCATTCGCCGCGTTTTACCACACCAAATGAGCCATTACCAAGTTCATTATGCAACCTGCAAACATTGTGTACAGTGTATAACAATAAAATTATTGTTCTTTTGACTGTAAAGCATTAAAATTTTTGAATGTATTGGTTTTTGTCTTGATTCAGAGATTAAAATTTTAACAAACCTAAAAAGTTATCTAATATTTATTAAGAAAATGTCATTTTAGTAGCTTACACAATATCTTTTTCTAGTATAATGCATGTTGTGCTCCGTGGTTCAGTAGGAGCTAGTTGTCTGAGAGCCAAATCTGTTTTCTCTCTGGTAACTGAACTTGTGCCAAACAGTTTGTTCCAAAATTTTCGATTCCAAAGTTGCAGTTTCTTCTTTTTAACAGCATCGAATAATCTGCGTACACCTGGTTTGCTGATGCCAATTTTTTCAAGATCATCTGCATGCACATAATCAAAATGTGCTAACCTTGTAATCTAAAATTAAAATAATATTGAATATCAGGTGCAAAATTTGTTATATATTAATGATCTTAACAATTACAAAATTCGAAAGGCAAAGGAAAATATATATGAATAGAAAATTCTATTTGCTAGCTTTGTTTACCTGCAGTTGATCTCTAATTGGCAAATAGAATTGTTCCAGCTGCACATTTTGTAAAATTTCACATAGCCATTCTGTTCCGGAATCCATATTCACAGTAATAAAATTTGCACTACCTTTGCAATATATAAATTAGAAATCTACTAGAAGGTAACATCTCAAGCAGGAAGCTTAAATTATCTTGGGAAAAATATTGTAACTGCACTTAGGTTTTTTCATTAAAGACGTAGTATCTCTGAATCATAAATACTGTTTATATTCGTAATCAATTATAATATTTTTAATGAAAATTAATACACTTTCAAAGAAACACAAAATAACAATTAAATTTCACTTCATTTCGGGATCTGTTTAGTTCAAAGACTAATCGCTTCAAAGTGGTTCGAACAATACAGAAATGATTTCAAAGACTGCTGAACATAAATCGATGTTGAGTTTGCGTGGAAAATCGATTCAGAGGTTCTATTTTGTGACATGATAATTTGTGATAACGTTATCAAATATTAATAATTCAACTCATAAGTAAAAATAGTACTTGAAGAATTAACTTCATGATTATCCAAATATTTAAGAATTCAAACTGCGGCAATCAGAAAAATATTTTTAAAATAGGGGAAATCTGGGAGAAAAAATCAACTTGATTGACAAAGAATGCATAAGTCAAAAAATCAACGACTTTTTGAGTGCTCTTGTGAAGTATAACTATTCGAAATAATATATATTTTATTGTTATACACAATGCAGAACTTGTCGGATGAAAGCATAAGCGAAATTAAATTAGTTAACTTCGGATCCGTAGCCGTTGATACAGTTGTTGAAAAATATGTTCTAATACAAAATGTATCCGATGTATGTAGTATTTTAACTTGAAAGTCACTGTTATCTTATTAACTATCGTGTATCTATATCTATTCTATACAATCAGTAAACTTGGAGTCTCTCTACAGAATATCGAAAAATGTCACATTTCGTGAACATCATGTATTTATGTTGGTTAAAATAAAACACCATTTGTTTAAATGTTGTAATTTTCTGTCTGTATGTGCGTATATTATAGCTGCTGACGACATATATAATCTGACGAAGGCGTGGACAACTGCTAGTCCATAAATAAAAGTACCAAATTTCAAAATACCGTCAACTCAACGATATAAAAAATTTTCAGAGGCTAGCCACATATCGTATATCATTATTGTACATATTGAACACAATAGATCAAGTTTTTAAAGTAGAGGTAACTTCCACTCCTGTAAAACCACAAGAAAGTGCTGAAGTGAAAATTATATTCAAACCGAATGTTGTGGGTTTATCTTATACAGAATATTATATAGTTGACGATACTTACGGGAACAGTTACAGAATAACTGTAACGGGCAAATGCTTCGGTACGTTTGCTAATTTTACCAATGAAAAAAAACTTCTATTCTGTCAAGCATTATATTATAGATTTTGATGATTGACTATACCACAGGACCAAAGGTGATATTAAGTAAGAAAAAAATTACTTTCACGATTTGCAAGAATGTATCAGAGCAAAGGAAAGACACGATTAATATCCTAAATAAAACTAACGTTGACACGACTTACCAATGGCTTCTGCCATATGGTGGTCAAGGATTCTTCCAAGTAAGTATTTAATAAAACCTCTTACGTATTGTACGTTGGAAATACATGTCATTGGTGAATGTGCAACTTTCATGTCCTTAAGGTGTTAAGCACATGGAATTGGTAAAATAATGAAGTTAATTTCTCTGTACAGATTTCAACGGGCAGCTGTGGCTTGATTCGAGCTTTTGAAAATATCCCAACGACCATTGCTTTTACTGGTGTTGCTTTAGGCTTGTATACAGCTGAATTAGTTTTCTTAGTATTGAATCAGGTAACATGGAATTTTAAAAATACACAAAGACTTGATATTTTTTTATACTTACAGCGTGAAATATTATTCTAGGAACCATTATTTGTAAGTGTTATAGCCACAGTTTCATTGCCGGCTAGCATCTCTTATAACGTAGACGAACATGTGTTTGAGAAGCATTGGAAACGTAAAAGTCGTTATCACTATTACATGGAGAATAGTCTCAACCGTTTGACTTACATACCCTCAGCCTCAGTTTATGAAAGATATCTCGACTTTGGTATGGGAAGTCCAACAGATATCAGCCTGAATATATCACAAACACTTTGTGTCACTAATCACGAACCAGTGGAGGGTTATATGCAATGGATACCAGGTTTGAGAGTATATTTATAATGATAAATATTTTGTAGACAACTCCGAATCTTTTTTATTTGTATTCGTATTCCATGTTTAGTTTGAAAGAGAATCGGAAATTTGTTTACTACTTATATAAAGGTGGTTTACGTCGTAAAATTGCATTAAGTAAAACTTAATCTGTTATTAACAGACCCCGATAATATATTCTTAGTGGATCCAATCGATGCAGTGATCCCTTCTAATGAATCAAGATTATTTACTATACGGTTCAGGTAAAATAATAAGTAATAATAATGAATCTTAGCTAATTATGAGTATGGGATTTGATAAATTCACATAACACCACTGTATTAGGCCGAAAATCGAAAATGATGCATATGGATACTTACTATGCGGCGATTATCAATATAAAGTCGACACAACAGAAGGACCAGTTAAATTCAAACACACTTGGGTCCGCATACCGTGTATTGGTAATACATGGTCTCCCTGCACTGAATGGTTAACAGCTTGGGACTGTCCTATTGAGGTATACTAATATTATTAAATGACGCTTAAATTTATTTTAGCAGCTTATCTTTTGGTATACCAAAAATTTAAATTACAGGTCACTCTACCACCAACTGTTCCAGCTCGGACTACGTTTACTAACTTCATGTTGTCCAATAAATTGGAAATACCGATGTATTTTAAATTCCAAGCGCCTTATAAAACGTATTGTATCACTTTAATATATTACTGGCATTGTACAAGGCAACGCAGGCTACTAATAAGTCATAATGTTTGCAGAAATTTTGTAGTAATGCCAATGTGTGGAATAGTTCAAGGCCGAGGCTGGCAGATTGTATCCGTGGCTTTGGAGCCAATGTCATTTGGCGAATATTACGAATCATGGGATTTGATTATTAATAGAGCTCATAAGGTACATATTGTGTAAATCTATAGAGAGTTCTATCTGAAATCTACATCCCTAGTTATTAATACGAAATATTTTTAAAGGCGCGCGTGTCTCTATGTGGGAATGCAGAAGTGAGCCAGATAGATGTGATGTCGCACGGCTACAATCCGTCTGCTCACGCCATGTACGAGTTCCCACCGACTATCACTGGATGCACCAATTACTGTACCGCTTACCTACACAACTTGACAAGAATGGAAATACAGTGAGTAAACAAAATCGATATGTCTATAATCGATTATACCATATCGCACAAAAATGATAAATAGATGCAGAAGACTAATAAAATCTAGCGAAGAACCCTATTAAAAATAAAACTTGATATGGTTCCAATATTTGACAGTATGAGAGTTCTCAACAACGTAGAGTGGCTGGGAGCGGACGACGGCGGTACGATAGTGCTGCCACCGCGCGAGATTGTGCGCTACCACTGGTGGTTCTTCCCCAAGGAGACCGGAAAAGTCTACGGAACAACTATTTGCTGTTCTTGCGTTTGCCTTATAAATGGCAAGTGAGTACTTATTTAAATTATTTTTTTTTCCATATTCGGTTCAACTTAGTCGTTTTTTCCTTAGGAATATGATGTTTGTAATGTCTATATCTTGTTTCTTTCTATTGAATTCCAGACCCATTGGTGAGCCGTCAGAAATATTTATTAACATTACAGGATTTTCAGAAACGCCGGATTTAAGGGTTAGTTTTTGTTTTTGAATTAATAACATTTAAAATTATATAATGTACAATTAAGGGTTTCTAACCCTTAATTTTATATATTATATATGCCTTTATGATTTCATAAAAGTGTATACTAAAATTCATAAAGTAACTAATAAAGTTCCATTGTTCACGAATTAAAATATTTTGCCTACTGTAATATTTAAAGGTTCTCCCTAAGACGACAAATCTTCATGACTTGGTCGTTGGTGCGACCACAACATTCAATGTCACCCTATACAACTACGGCACTTGTTTCTTCACTTCCAAACTGTATTATGACATCGATGGCATGGGTGATGACTTCCAAGGAGATAGGATCGATATTGATAATTCTATTGTAAGTATTTTTTTTAAACAAAGTCGAGTGGCAATCTAAGATGGCGGCGATTTTTCGCGGGAAATTTTGACAGATTTCATGATAATTTTAAGTCCGATACAAATCAAGAGGGGAAAAAAGAAACGATAAATTTGAATTCTTTGGGGATTTAATAATTTTTCTAATATTGCTTTTATTTATAATATCAGAACAGTCTTAAGCCGTCAAATTACTGCGAAGTGAAGATATCGGTAACGCCTAAAGGTGCGGGCTCTCGTCAAGTTGATATACGATACACTGTTCTCTATCGGTCTGCTTACGATGAGATTGAAGAGATACAACCCGTTACCAAGTCTATCTGTACTTTCTGGTATGATGGAATTTACCCAACTCTCAAGGTGAGTTAACACGTTCTATGCCACTAAGATTTTTTCATGAACGCCAACTCGCCAGACCAATTTGTATTTGGAAGCAAACGCTTTCAAAATTAACTAGCTATATGTAAAGATGAACACAGCAGCAGTCCTGGTACAATAATTGGTACCTTTGTCTATATTGATAAAAATTCAATAGTTTAACTTGAAATGCTGTTAAATCGTTTTAAAGCATATTAGTAGTCTCATTTCTTGCCAGCGATGGCGCGTGATTGAGTTATTTTGTTAAATTTTAGGTGAAACGCACAATCTCTGTAAAATGTCCAATAATATTGAGTAATCATTGCTTATGGAATATTACTAATGTGGAAGAGTAAGTATTTTACTATTAACGACATTTAATACTAATCATATAATTTTAATAAATCTATATAATTTAAGGTTAAATAAAGCTTTAATGGACGTTAGACCTAACAATCCTTTGGACGTAAACCTTTTCGCACCGGAATTGTGCATTAAGGCGGGTCAAGTGGAATTAGTGTTCGTTTTCGGTTGTGTATACGCAGTTTCCGTGCCATGGAATATAAGAAGAAGGAAAATCTGCGACTGTCCCATGGTTGAAGTACAAATTGGTATTTCAACATTCGAGATGAGACATACATGCGGTCATAGAAACTATGTTAAATTATCACCAAGCAATGGAATTGTCTCGGTAAAAGAATATTCTAATAATTTACGTTACATATTCCAAAGAGATCCAATTTTATTATTAGTGGCTATAAGATTATTTCTGCAATATTAAAAAGTAGTTAACCGCGTCAAATGAAGGTCCTTAGTGTCTGCTTACTCCTCTTAGTTACGGACCTGAGCTATCTTGTTGTAAAAAGTAGTTACAATGGGGAAAGAAAATTATATCAAATATGGTTTAAAGTCGGTATATTTAAATTGCTGGTAGTTATTAAATTTAAACGTTTCAGCCGGAAAAACCAAATCTTCTATTTGTAGACATCGATTACGGTTACGAAGGACTCAATACTTTATGCTTTGTGATGACGATGCCCAATCAGAGAGTTCTTCATATATACATAAATGTTTACGCGCATTTAAATACCAAAGGCACTCTAGCACCATTACGACGTCCTCAAAAATCTGATGATTATTTGGCCGTATTGGATTGTGGAAGAGTTCCGATTAATAATTTGGATCCTGTTATTCGGGTAACCACTCAAAATAGAAAGAATAGTATTGTGTTGTCAAAAAGTTCTAATGGGTAATTCCAAGGAAATAGCAGTTCTTTATACAGATTTGTTTCCATTACTGTTTTGGGATAAAAAATGTGCGTCGTATAGTAGTGGAAACTAAAGGTGGTACAAATATTTATTTAGATCGTCTGGCTGTATAATCCTACAGAGGTGTATACGACATGGCGTTTACTAGCTGGTAATACATCGGCCTTCGACTCAGCTCTGCGTTGTCTGCAATACTTCGCTGAGGTGTCGCCGTTAGATAAACTGGCGATACCTTTCGCATTCTTACCAACAGAGATGGTTGATTATGAGGTAAGTAAAACAGTTTATGGCTGGGGAATTCTACACTACTAAAAATCGAAGCGAAGCCCAAAAGAAGCAACGAAAGGAAATTTAGCAACAAAACAAAATATACATAGCTTTGAGAAAACTCTGCATTCTTTTTCACATTGTTTTTGAATCATTTGCGTTGAGATTAGTTGCGTTTCCTGTTCACTTTCGCAGTTTTAAGGTTATATGCATTACCGATTTTTTTTCTTATTTATAGACAGTGTTTAACTGTTCTTTCGGTTATGATATAATCAAGATATTGGTGAAGGGACAAGGCGGTTTGCCTAATTGCATTGAAACACGTCTTGATATTCCAAGTTATATAGAGAGAAATATACGAGCAGCGTATAGAGAAAATGTGGTAAGTACATTGTTTTTTGCTCAAATAAAAACAATAAGGCGCGAAAAGTGTCTATGGTATTTTTTTTTCTAGGTTTATTTATCTAAGAGCCACGTTACCTTACCAGTAATGCCAACTCATTCTCTATCTAGAGAAATATTAGCGGTCTGTAATGATACGGACCACCTAATAAGGTTCATATGGCTACCGTAAGTTAATATTCTAATTTTTTTTTAAATAACTGAAATTAAAATAAGATTTTCTTTTCCAATGTAAGTAAATTCTTTTAGGGAAAGAGTTGCGAATATAATAAACATAGTAATAACTCCATGGTGGGGTGTTATACAGCCAAAATCGACGGAGTGGATTACTATGACTGTTTATACTTTGCAAGAGCCGGCCACATTTACGTATGTTTGATATTTAATTAATTTTTATACACAGAAATGCATTAAGCGATTTATCTATGAATGCTTCGAGGCATCCATCTAGATTGCCTCATGTTAAATTACTTAAAGCCGTTATACTTTTAACACATTCACTGTTATTATGATTTTCCCTTTTTAACTAAGCTGTAGGTTGTAAGTTCGTCGAATTTTCTTTGCAAACGTCGTTTCATCAAAGAGAGTAAATCTACAGAGGTGTCGGAGAACTATAAAACCATAAATGACCAATCACTAGTCAATAAATCTTCAATAATTAAAGTTTTTTTCTTTTCATATGCTTGTGTATGACAAATCACTTAGTACAACGGTGTCCTGTGAAGTTTTGGACTTGACTGAAAGACGAAGATATCAGTGCAATGAACATTTAAAAAAGACTAAAATAGAGAAATGTAATCAGGAATTCATTATAACAGAAGAAGGACTATCTCATCCTGTATGTAATAAATAATTTCTCCCTTTTCTTTATGGAGTTTAATAAAAAGTTTTTAGTTATAATATATATTATAATTTAGAATTGTATGTTTTAATTTAAAGGGAATTAACGATAGTCCCCCTTACGTATTGGATATTGAAAAGCCGCAGCCATTTTATCTATCCATGTCTGTGTCGATATCGTCTAAGGGTCAACGAGATGGTTATCCCCGGTTACTTTTGAAGCAAATGTGGGAACAGGTATACTTTTTTTTTTAAAATATTTTTATTAGCAAAGAAGAAAGTTATATGATTGCGCTATGTGATCTGGAAAACTCGAGTCAAGTTTTCTATAGATATTTTTTTTTATTTTTAACCAATTAACCATTACTTATTAAATATTTTCCAGACTCCACCTTACGATTTATTATCTACAGAAATGCACTTACATGACTGTGGCAAGGAATTAACCACAAGTGGTAACAACATGACTCTAAGTGAAATCATTCGAATTATAGAAGGGATATTGTGGTAAGCAAATATTAATAATCTTGCTAATATTGTAAATGCGAATGTTTGGATGTATGAATGGATGGAAATTAGAAGGTATCTGAAGAACGGTTCAACAGATCTCGATTTAATTTAGCATAGATGTAGAACATAGTCTGGAAGGACACATAGTCTTCTAATTAAGTTTTGTAACGGGAAAAGTCACGGCTGATAGTAATTCATAATTATACATTTAACAGATAATCAAAGGTAAATTTATTTTAGGGATGCTTTAAATAGCAAAATGTTTAAATATCAAATTGAGCATTACACCAAAGAAGAAATACCCACCTATCAACATCTAGTCAATACTATTGAAAGTGATTCGAAGCCGAGATTTAGTAAGAGGTACGATTTTTAATAACACATTTCTGTACAATTTCAGCGCTCCTCAAGTAACATTCGAAAATCGATGTTGCTAATCGATATGTCAAAAGTGAATGAAAATGACATTAAGTCGATATGTGACATATTTTTGATATACATTTTGTCGATTCTAATAACGATGGCGATAATCGAATGTTACATTGTCTTTGGCCATATTGGAAGTGACGCGCGACAATCACGTGACTTATCCAAAATTATGGTCAGTTTCATACATTTTTGAAGTTCGTTATGGAATCACTTCGGAGCGAATGCACTTTGTCTACAATTGTTTCGTTTAATATTTATTATTAATTATTCCTAACAGGATAGAATAAATAAAAGTATAAATAAATAGAGAAAAACCTTTAATGAAAAAGACTTAAAAATTATTTAACAAATTAGTTAGCAATCATTTAATATGATTTATTTCAGGATTACATCTGGTATATGCGATGCTATTGTCAATAAAGCAATATTCAACGTTTACAGTTTAAATTCTAAATCCAGTATATCCATTCTGGAAGCGGAGTAACATATTTTTAATTATGTCACGTTTTATTTCAATAAATATTACAAAAAGCACAATTCCATTTTCAATCTTAACCTAACAATTATCACAGATTAAATTCAATTAAGTATCTTGTCAAGTTTGAGTTGTAATTTTTTTGGTTTTGGTGTGCCTATAACAGTGACAGATACCCTATCACCTAGTTTTGGTGTTTGATTTCCGCCTAAATTGCTTCTATGTATCAAACCGTTGTCACCAACGCCGCAGTCCACGAAGCAACCAAAAGGAACCACGTTACGGACCACACCTGAAACATTTCACTTTCATTCAATCCAAGATCTAAGGGCAAACCGGGAACCATGCCCTGGGCTTCAAGTTCAAAGGGCGGCAAAATTCTCAGTTTATAGATTAATCCAAAAAAAAAATCCAAACAGTATTTTTAAATTTTTGCCCTGCCTATATTATAAAGCGGAAGAGTTTGTTTAAACACGCTAATCTCAAGAACTATTGGTCCGATTTGAAAAATTCTTTTTTTGTTGGTTAGTCAATTTGTAGAAGGAGACTTTAGGCTATATAACATTACGCTGCGACCAATTGTTTTTTTTAATAAACTAACTAATAATTATTTTAGCATATACCACTTTTATGATATACCACGTATGTGTGATATAAGACGTCTTTTTTGGTTATGACATTTTTTTTTTAATTTAAAATATTAGCAGATTTATTTGTAAATTTACTAATATTTCTTTAACCATTCCAACTAAGTTCTAGGCTTGTGCTAGGATATGGTTTACGACAATAGTCGAATGGCGGGATTCGAACCCCCAACCTTGTGATCGGAAACCCGTATCCTTAACCATTAAGCTATTGACGCTTCAAATTCGATTGGAATATTAACTAACCTGTCAAAGTTGTCCCATTAGCGATTTGCTCCGTCGTCTGTATAGTTACAGAATAAACAGGTCGACAGAAACTTATAACATTATCTTCATAAGGTTTTTGTTTGAATGCACTTATTATCAGTTCTAAAGTAGACACATCTGTATCTAGATCTTTGCTGGTTGCGATCAGATCTATATTTGCAGTCTTACGTTCAACTGATTCAGGAAAATGTGGTCGACTTAGCTCTTTTATATTGACATTAATTTTCTTGGCAAATCTGTAATCGAATAAATAAACACACGTCAAACATTATAATATTGTATTGGAAATAATGGAATTCAAATAGTATTTTTACTTTGTTTTGTTGAACTAAAATCTTCAACTGACTTCTTACCATGGGTTTCTGAGACCCAAATTCCCTGTTTAAAAAATATTATTATCTCTGATTTGTCGATGATAATAAAAAGGGTGGCATTATGTTTTATACAAAGATTTTGGTTTCAGAAACCAAGGGTTAATCGTACAACATTGTATTGATTTTTCGATTAACTAAGGAGTATAATGTTTCTGTATGTTTGTGCGTATGTATGCTTTTAAGTATGCGAGTAGGTAAGTTCCATTTTGACTGACTGTAGCCTAAATAAATCAGATTTTGACGGGTGAGGTGTTATTCAATTGCTAATCTTCCCCAGAGTGTCATCAGTTGAGTCAGACCAAAGTCAGGAAGAACTCATAGGCTACCAATTAAGTTTTTTTTACTATCTCGCAGACGAATTTTCGTGCAACTGACAGTTTCTTATAAGTAAAACTTACAGCTTAGCTATACCGTAGCTCTCAGGATGTATGATTGTTGCGTCTAAAGGTTCAGAACCAGTCAGCACTTTGAGGAATCCCGCGCATTGCTGGTACGTGATCTTGCCTATGCCGCTCACTTTCAGTATCTCCGCTCGTGTACTGAAGCCGCCTTTCTCCTGTCTATATGCTATCATCTTCTTAGCTCTGCCTTCATTTAAACCTGAAATACGTCTAAAAACAACGATAGCTTTAATTATGTTAGGGTCATTGCACAAAATACTATAGAAATAATATAAAATTCTCGTGTCACAATTTTCGTTCCCATACTTCTCCGAAACGGCATGACCGATTCTCATAAAATTTTGTGAGCATATTGAGTAGGTCTGAGAATCGGCCAACATCTATTTTTAATCCCGCGCGGAGGGAGTCGCGGCCGACAGCTAATAGAAATATATAATCGTTTAAATTTTCTTCAAGATTCATACAAGATTAGTTTTTAGAGTGGTTTTATCTTAACACAGAATCACTTATGTAGATCTAGGGCAGAAGAATCAAGTTGGATGTTTTTTGCTTGTGTATTGCCCGTGATAAGATATTCGATTCTATTCTCACAGTCTATTTTTAGGGTTCCGTACCTCAAAACGAAAAAACGGAACCCTTATAGGATCACTTTGTTGTATGTCTGTCAAGACTATTTTTTTTTGTTTATAAAAACTTTGGTTATTTTGACAAAGTTGGAAAGTGTAGACATACCTTAACATAGCTTGCGACGCTGTGTTAATATCCACACCAACTAAACTGACAACTTTCTCAACTGTAGCATCCAATGCTGTCTCCAACATCTTCGGTGGAATATCATGTTGGTAAAGTCCTACTCCCAAGTTTTTAGGATCTACCTGATAGAAGCAATGTATTAAATAATCTTACTTATATTATAAGTGCCAATGTTTGGATGGATGGATGTTTGTTGTCTGTTGAAATTTGGCATAGATGTAGAACATAGTCTGGAAGATATCGTAGGCTACTAATGAAGTTTTTTTTTTAACTTTGGGTGGACGGAGTTGTATGATAAAGTAATATAAATAATTTACTTTAATCAATTCACCCAATGGATCCAATACTCTTCGGGCTATAGATAACGCTGATATCAGATTGGGATCCATGTTTGGATGTTCCTGAAAAAAAAGTTAAGGATATATGTTAGCAGTGTGCTGTGTAAGAGTAATTAGTTTGTCAAATTTTTAATTAAGAAGTACAGATAAAGTATTAAATTTCCTTCCCATTTAAGTCCTATTATCGTATTAGTTAACATAAGAGCTAATAGCATTTATCTATAATTCTATGAAGAGATTTCGACCTAATTGCATAGTATCAACATATCAAGGAAAAAGAATACTTCCTGGACTGGATTGTAAGGTTTGGAATATACCTTTTGGGCTTCTTTGCTGATAGAATAAATGGAAGCTCCTTGTTCAGGTACTATGATTACTGGAATGTTCTCAGATATCCCATGTTCTTTTAACCATGTTTCAGTTTCTCGGCAAGCAGTGCCATTTCCCAAACCGATTAGATCAACTCTAGAATAACAATAAAATGTTTTTTAAACAAAAACAATAAGAAATTAATAAAAAAAATGAGTAATTCTGGGTTTTTGAGACCAAAATTCCCGTTTAATATATTGTTATCTCTGTTTTGTTAAAGATGACAGAGTGGGATGACGATATCTATACTAAGATTACAAAGCAGAAGAGTTTGTTTGTTTAAACGCGCTAATCTCAGGAACTACTGGTCCGATTTGAAAAAATATTTTTTGGTTGGATAGTCCATTTACAGAGGAAGGCTTTAGGCTATATAACATTATGCTGCGACCAATAGTTTCTTTTTAATTCCGCGCGGGCGGAGTCGCGGGCGACAGCTAGTATTTTATACAGAGTTTTTGGTCTCAGAAACCTATGGTAATGATTACATAACTAACCTATGTTTAGTTATGATTTCTTCTAATTGTTTTGCTGCGTGATCATTTACATTGTAACGTCGTAAATCAGGATGAATGGTACAAGCATCTAACTTTTCACCATTAGCATTTATAATTCCAACCTAAAAAAAAATTGTGACGAAAAAAATTAATTGTCTATGATCTTGGCATTGAGTTACCAACACACAAAATCATATCGTCGTCTCAGTGTTTTTAAGGAGAATGAGTGAGATGGAAAAACATACGAGTGTTTCGAGCAGTAAAAGCCCAGGGTTATGTGAAAACAAGTTGATTTTCAGAAGCACTATTAAACCAGCTCTATCATATTTTTTGACTGAAAAGTCGCACTGTTCAGTTATATTTTACAAATATTAACAAAATTATAACTGTTGAGTTAAATGAGAACATCTGTAACCAACTTAACACACACTATGTTTAATTTAAAACAAAAACTAGATTTTTCATGTATACCTTACACCCAGCTTTAAACCCTGGATCCAAGCCTACTATTGTTCTATTTTTTATTGGTTCAGTTAACAAATACTTCTCTAAATTGGCAGTAAATGTTTTGACAGCCTCTTTTTGTGCCGCAGCTGTTAGTTCTGATCTCACTTGTCGAGAGAGCCAAGGTTTTATAAGGCGATTGTAAGCATCAATCAAACCTTTCTTAACCCAGTGTTTACTGTTCCACAGTGTTAGACAGTACCTACGAAATAGTTAGTTTTTTGTAAATAGCTACCTAAGGGAACATACCCATACTACGTGATTTATTTTTTTAGTTTTTTCGACCCCTCCCTCCCCTCGGTGACCACTCGTAGTAAAGGCCAAGACACCGCCTTTAGTTTTTATGTAGTAATTCATTAGAATTTTTAATAATTGCACAGGCAAAAGTCGAAAAACAAATAATTTGGCTCATACTCTTCTTTATAGCATAAGACTGCATGCATATTTAAATTACTAGTGAATTATGTATTATTAAAAAAAACAACTAACGACTATGTGACTGAAATCTGGGCCCTCCCCCTCCCGCTCCTGTGACTAACCATAGTATTTTAAGGACTCCCCCCAAAACGGGTCACATAGTATGAGTATGTTCCCTAAGCAGATATTTTTAACCGGAATTAATTTTTTTTAAGATTCTGCTTTTGCTAAAGAAACTTTTTTTTTCTTAATAAACAATGTTTTTTATTTATAAGCATAAGATTTTAGTAGAGCATTTAATTGATTTAAGAAAAATATAGACAAATTAATAACCTTCTTTTCAAAGTTATTATTTTACCTTTCAAGTCTATTATAAAACCAATCAGGAATCACTATTTTGACGGAAAGAATTTTTTCATCCTCCCCTCTATTAACGGCTAATATTTGGTAAGATTTAACAAACTGAACCGGACATTTCCAATCAAAATATATCTTATATGTTTCTGGATCTGATTTACTGTCATATTTTTTATTTTCATCTTTTTTTTCTTTTGTTGAACTTTTCGTTTGACTACTCTGTACTATGAATCTTGTTTGTTCCTTTCTGTAAAGATGCAAGTAATGTCTTCATATTTTTAAAATTATGCTTTGTAATTAATTTATGAAACAATGCCTTATAAGGATACTATATAGGGTGCTCAACAAAGTGTAAATAAATTAATTTAAAACAAAACAGACATACTTTATATGACTTACTTTGCTCTGAATAATTTAAAAAGAAACATACAAACTTCTCATCTCTGTCAGAACCCTCGAGTCTTTGTAAATAATATCTGCAACTATGTGTGTTATATGAGATTCCACTTTATCAGCCGTTGACAATTCCTCTTCACCATTACATAGATTATGTAACACAATATTTTCTCCATTTAAAGCTTTAACTGCATATGGTTCAATACCAAGTGACCTAGCTCTTTCAGCTAATGATAATGAGTTAGATTTGAGTGGTGCGTACTGGAAACATATAAATTAGATGTATCTATGACAAGCTACCCATAATAAAAATACAGATGTTTGAAAAATATAAGAACAATTAAGGCATTAACTAAATAGTCAACATACCAACAAATCAAGTTCAGATAAGTTACGGGCATTTAATATACTCTGTTCTATTTGAGGAGTCAGCTTTTTTGACTTCTTTAATGTCTCTATCACAGATTTCACTTTCTTTGTAAACTGTATAACCTTCTGATAACTTTCAAATAGTTCTTGAAGGCTATAAAATTGAAAGCAAAAAATTTTAAAATTTTAAACGAAATATTAAAATAATATCCTTTAATATCTTCAGGAAACTCTTTTTAACTAAAAATTTGCTAAGACAAGTAAAAAGAAAATATAAAGAATGTTTTGAATAATGTAGAAAAAATAGTAGATAAAATGTTTACCGATCAGGTTTTAAATAATCAACAACATTTTTACGATATCTTGCTATGAACGGTAAGGTGCATCCTTCGTTAAGTAACGTAATAAACCTTTCAGCTAACTCTTGAGGAACTTTTTCTTCAAAAGATAAAATCTTTGCTTCATCCCAATTTTTATTTGTTAAATTTATCTGAAAAGCTGGTACAGTGTCTTCACAACTTTCATCATCTGTTGTTTTCTTTTTCAAAACTTTATTAACTTTTTTGTTTATTTGTTTTTCAGTTACAGATTTTTCAGAATCTTTAGTCTTTTTAACTCTTGTTTTTTTAGGAACGCCTTCCGTTTCTATTACTTGCAACTTTCTTTTTGTTGCAGTTTTTTTGGTATTTTCCATACTTTTAGTCAAATAATGTAAATATTAATTATTGTAAATGCTTTCAAGTTCAAATTCAAAGTCAAACGATTTGCCAGTTGACAGTTGAAGTCAGTTGCCATTGTCAGTCAAAGAGTGTATACCTACATGAACAAAAAATCACAAAATATTGAAAGCTCTACCAAATATAATTTTCAAACCTTGTGCCCTTGTGCGCCGACTCCACGTGAGTCTTATTTTTATGGCCCAGTAAAATATAGCATGTCGCTATATTGTGGAAAAATAAAAATAAAAGTCGATGGCTTGGACGGCTTGGACCAAAGAGTATATAAAATACAGTGACAGATGACAGAACAGGTGATAGTGACACTGACAAGATATTGAATTTTTAAAATTAATAAAAATCTTGAATTTTCATACCATGGCTGATGATAACAAAAACATAAAATACGATGTAGTACATAAACTCGTGAAGAACTTTCTTATGGGAAACTTGAAATATGAATTATCTGTAAGCATCTTATAATAAATTATTTGTATTAGAAATGGTCATTATTGTTAAAAATATTTATTTTTGTAATGTTGCAGAAAGATGAAGTAAATGAATTATCTTTAGACAATCAAGAAATATTTATGCAATTAACAATTCATAGCTCTCTTTACAAAAAGTATCCCTTAAAATTTGAGTTTTGTAGATTGTTTTTTAAGAAACTAATTAAATATTTGGAGCAATATTCTGAAGTTCATGATGATATGTATGAATTTATATGTTCTCTGATGAAAATAAAAAATGAGGAAAATAAATTTTCCTATAGACATTATATTATTGCAAATAATTTAATAGATATTATTACAATAAAAGAAACAAATAACATGGTTATTAATGGGACAACTGGTATGAAAACTTGGGAGGTAAGAGATCCAAAGTTTACAAATTTTGTAAGATGTAAACAACAATCCAAAACTTCCTTTTGATTTTTATGAGACTTGTTTTTTGTTCAATAATGTTTTTGAAGGTTTAATGTTTTTTTATAGGCTGCTATAATGCTATCAGATTGGATACTATGTAATAAAGAATTGTTCTATAACCGAAGAATACTGGAACTAGGTTCAGGGGTTGGCTTTACAGGAATTACTGTTGGCAAATTCTGTATGCCAAAATCTATAACATTAACTGATTGCCACAGTGATGTCCTTGATTTACTCGTAGAGAATATTGCAATTAACTTTTCAGACTTACAAAAAACTGCGACTTCACAATATCACAGTTTTAAGAATGATCAGAAAGTAATAGGTATGTTTAATTTTCGTTTTACTAAGTATTGACCAAATTTAAATTGATTTTGAAGAGTTAAGGTTAATTGAAAAAAATATATATTTTTTAATTGTTTATAGCAACACTTAATTTCACCATGGCATTCTTTCACAGATGTAACAAAGTTAGATTGGCACTGCCCGGAAGATATAAATGATAATTATTACCCAGATATTGTGATTGGTGCTGATATAGTTTATGACCCATCAATACTGCTTCCTCTTTGTAATGTTTTAAATAAATTTTTCAATAGAAATCCTCAGTTACAAGTGTATATTGCAAGTATTATAAGGAATGAAGAGACTTTTAATCAATTTTTAAAAGTATTAGGTAAGTGACAGCTAACAATGTTGGTATTTTGTTAATGAATTAATCTAATTTATTAAATTATCTATTGTTTTTCAGATAATATTAATGTTGCAGTTGATAAGGTGATTCCAACGGAATGTGTCTTTTTGAATTGGAATCAAGAAATGAAAAGGTGTATATTGAAAATAAGAAAAAATGTATGACATTTTATATTATATTAGTAATTGTAATAATTTGTTTAATACAGTTTTTATTGTTTTTGCCTAGGCATTAATTCATTTAAAGTTTTAAGTTGTAGTAGTATACAGGTGGAACAACCGCTGTTCCTAAATTAGTTTCAATTTAGGATTATTATTAAAAGTAGCAATTTTCATATTCAAACTGGAACTACAGTAAGTCAGGCCGCCTTTGTCCATTCCTTAACCACTCACTACTCTACTCTCCCGGGAAGTTATAATTTTGTTATTCTCATTGATTGTGTACAATTCGAAATTTTACATTACTCTTTTTGTTTAAATTCATCTCGAGCTAGATTGTTGTGAATCTAAATAAAATTAATATAGGACTTATTTAATTGATAGTTTTTATAAAGATAGGTTTCCGGACAAGCACCATTTGTCAATGTCTTTAAAGTGTCAGGTATATGTCAATGTCGAATTCATGTCATCATAAATGACGATTTTTACAATTATTTACATTTTTATCATAAATTCCTTTAAATATATGTAAGTTACCTATTTACCAATAATATAATTATTTATTCAAAAGACTTCTCTAATTCATTTATTACCCAAAAGCCCTAAAATAAAATCACTAATTTTAAAATATATCTTCAATGTCTGAAGAAGATAAAAGTAATCCAACACAAAATGCAAGTAAGGTTAATAAAACAGAACAAAAGCAAGAGTCCTGGGGATATGATTTATATCCTGAAAGGCGAGGAACATTCACACCGAAACTGTCAAACATATTAATTGGTAAAGAAGGGAAAGAAGGGATTGAGAAATTCAAGTGCGAGAAAAATGTATACGAGTGTGTTAAAAATAGTAAGTATATGAAATTGGTTTAATGTTAATACGGACAGAAAACAAAATATTATTGTTATTTTTAAATTTCAGGTCCTATAGTTAAAGTGATGATGGCAGCTTTAAAAAGTTCTGGTTGGTAAGTTACATAATATAACGAGATAAAAAGATTACTGTTATTACTATTTCACGTTAAAAATTATTTTGACTGTAATATGTATGTTTTTAAAGTATTAGTTGTTTTTATTAGCCTAAAATTTCAGCCCTGTGGATATAAGAAGACACATATCTTGTGAGGTTTGCGATTATTCAGTTAGTGGAGGTTATGATCCTGAGTTGAATCAGGTAAATGTTCTAAAATATCTATACTATCAGAAAATTAACCCAGTTGCTACCTTTCTTGAGATCATAAATAATTATTTCATGTGTATTCTTCAAGTTTTTACGTGAATAACTTTGAATGTGAATCTTATTTTTTTTAAATCAATAGAGAGCCACTTCTAAAGACAACTATATTATATTGTATAATAAATGTTCTATGTATTGATATTTTAACCAAATTCCAAAAGGAGATATTTTTCTTATTTTCAATTAATTTCTTTATGTTTTCTTGTTCAAGATTGTTGTATGTCAAAATGTATCAACAAGGAAAGGTATGGTGCAAGGTGTGTTAGCACATGAGATGATACACATGTTTGACTACTGCCGCAATGACCTCAACTTTAAAAACATGGAACATCTCGCCTGCTCTGAAATCCGTGCCGCAAATCTGACACATTGCTCATTTGTCAGCGCTTGGTCACAAGGTGATGCCTCTTGGACGAAAGTTAAGCAAGCTCATCAGGTAATAAGTTCAATTTAGATAACTTTTTTAATCTATACTATAAAAACAATGCTCTTTACTTTATAAAACCAAATGATTTGTTTTATTCTGTCATTTAAATTCAGTTGTGTTTCCCAGGATTGTGTTAAAACGAAAGCTTTGTACTCTGTGATGGCAGTTCGTCAAATTGGTAAAGCGGAAGCTGTGGATATTATAGAAAAGGTGTTTCCGAAATGTTATGCTGATTTAGAACCAATAGGTAGACGGATCAGACGCAATTCAGATGATATGCTCCGAGCATTCAAAGAGGCTGCATATTATGGTTATGAATAACACTGGTTTGTAATAAGTAGATTGTAAGTAGAAAACGAAATAAAAAAGAATTTCAAGATTAAAATAATGTCTTTTATTTCATTATTTCACCAACTATTTACAAGTTTATTGCCTAATTTAAACATAACTCTAGAACATTTTGGTATTTAACTTTAGTTTAATACGTTTAAAATAAAAATGTGCGTTTTAAATAAAAAATCATTTCAACAACACAGATATTTACTAATAATAAAAATATATTTATCTATAGTCTGAATCTCTGAGTTAAAAGATAATTGCGCTAATAAGTTACTAATTTGTTGTCAATTGATGATTTTTGACAGATCGATGTTATTGACGTGCACATTTTTATTTGAAACGTTCTAAAAGATTTTATATTTAATTTCAAAAGCAATTTAATTCTTATAAGGCACAAATTGTAATATTATATGGACGAAGTTTCAATCTTACTTTAGTTAAAATGTATGCATTTCTGAAAATAATATTAATTTGATATCCAATTTTATATTACTTTTAAGATAATTAGATAACAATTCGATAAATACATAACGTATATCACATTTTGTGCAGTAAAATGATTTGTGCTAATAGTTATCTATGGTTGTAATTATTAAATAATGACTAGATCTTTAGCTTCATATTATACTTGTAAAGCTAAGTGATTGATATAAAATAGCATAACAACTTATTAAAATTATCAACTTTTTCTTTAATCCAACTGCCGTTTTAAGACAGCATTTCACCGTTGAGTAACGACACTTCACGGTAAATTTACAAAGCAGCACATCTGTACGAAATAATGTTGCCATCTCTCAGATTGGCTATGAAAATCTGAAAAAAATGTCTGGTTAGGTGTTTCTGCAGCGGAACTCTATGGTACCACATTTAAAATAACTCGAGTTAATGAAGACAATTTAATGGCGATTATTTTGATCACCACTTGTACTTCTAATATGATCATTTGATGACATGAGATCTTTTATCTTTATTAGTGGATGAAACATAATTTGTCTAGTGATTTGTATTTCATGTCATATGAATAAAAATACTTTGATTCGACATGAACCACAAGGCACCTAAATTAAAGCCAACTATTTTTAATTTAAGTATAAGCCTTATGGTCCCCAGAAGATTTCGTAACTTGTAGATATTAACTGTATAATATAATATTAATTAATTTTACGTCATAATATTAAGCACTTATACAATTAATAAGTATCCTAAAAATTCGACAATAAATTACACTAATAAATTGTCTATGATTAAAAGTGATATTTATAATTCGATTCATTTTCAGGTTCCTCTAGAATTTAATTTAAAAAACGATATAAACACGGTTTTTAAATTTTATTTAGCATTCGATCTCCTGTGTTTCTATAGATGCAAACTATTATATAATTTTATAGGAAGTGCAGGTAGGCAAAACGGGTTCAGATTTCTGAATTAGGTAATCACAAAATTTTATGTCTATATCTGGTTAAAGTTTTGTACTATTGACTAATTGAACTAATTGGACTATTTTAATATGTTAGTTCTATTCCAAAATGCTCTTTACAATTCTTCATTCAGTACCGCGATAGAGTTACTTTGTGGGATAATAGTTTAACTTTTTTTTATTTAGTTTTTAATTTAAAGGTATATTGCATACGTATCATGTTACATCTAGTATGAATTACATATATAACGCACTTTGAAGGCACTGTTCAGAACAATAACACTTATAAAAATAAATAATTTACGAAAAATTTTTCAACAAATAACAAATGTAAACATAACCTTAAATTGTAACAGCATTGTTAATACAATAATTGTTCCTTATTCAATAAATAATTGCACTCACTTTAAATTAACAGAAAAAAAAACTTAAAAATATTAAAACTTATAGACATTAACATGCTTCAATATAATTTCCTTAGGATTGAACTAAATTTTCAAAAATGGACTAGCAATTTGTCTAATATTTACAAAAATAGTCTTTATCACTTGGTAAGTTTAGGCACTGTTCACATAAGTTAATAATTTCTTTTACACACTGTCACTACTCGAGAGTTGCTCGATGAGCTTCGCTAAGGTAAGTTGTCCAGTAAATTACGGTAAAAAGAAAAAAGCATATTGGGAACAGCATGAGGGCGAATTTGTCGAGCGCCCCATGTTGGGCCCCACAGAACATAACACCGTGGTCCACCATGGTGGACACTCGTGCGATGAAACCCCTAGACGAGCCGTTCGGCGGCATTGTGTCCAGTATCGGTGAATCCTAAAATAAAATAAATATTTATTTATCATCATTTAAACAAAGCCGTAGATTTAATTAATTATTACTCAATACAGATTTTCTACAATTTAACAAACCAGAAAAGCTCACTGTTGGACATATTGATTTAGTTGATCGTATCGCTTCTCTAGTTTTGTCAGTCTCTAAATCTAATTTTTTTTTTCAGTGCAAAACTAAATATAATCCAAAATAACAATGTTACACAAATTCCTAAGGCAAACTTTGCTTGTAACTTCTAATCGCTAAGTTTAATTCTAACAACACAGTCGCGTGTAAAGGCCCTCTAAGTTCTGAAGCAATAAATATTGCCACAACATATTTGCACGTCTAATATCTACTCGTCGTATATAACAGAAAAATACATTAATATTAAAAGACTGGATACGTATTATATCGCCAATAAATTAGTTGTAATTACGTGAAACTAATTCGCATACGGTGAACTTCAGACACACCGTGCCTTAAATAAGTTTTACCTTACTGACTGATCTTGTTTCGCATCCAATCTTATTGTCTCTCCAACTCCTTTTATCCGAGGAGGACGACTAGAAATTGGTGACCTTAGTTTAAAAAATGTAGGTAAAATACGTGTGCAGGGGCCTTTATTATTTGTGCAATAGACTAGTTCAAATTAAATGATATTTACCCTTTGTATAGTTTGATGTGAGAATTGTTGCTTTAGGCCATCGTCCTCAACGCTTAGTTGCGGTGAAAAGACGCCGCCTTGAGGCGTTCCTGTCACCGGTGTGCCCATTCTCTACAAATTTAATGGAAATATTTCTAAAATTTCAAACCAAAATTCTATGTGTGTCTACTTCCTACGTTCTACAGAGTTTGAACTTAAATAAATTAAAGAGTTTCCAATTGTTTTAAGTATCAAGATGCTTTGGTCACCTGTGAATGGTTGACGTGTAGGGGTGGTGGCGCGAGCTGCGCAGCGGAGTGCGCGCGTCGCAGGTCCTGGCGCCGCTTGCTCCAGCTCTTATCGTAGCGGATGCCGAACAGTACAACGAAGTACTCAAGCAGCGCGAGGAACACGAAGATCGTGCACGAGATCAGCCACACCTCTATACACTTCAGCTCCAGTGCGTCGGGCGAGTTTGTACTGCAGACAGTAATTGTGTACCATAGTAAATTTAACTAGATTTTAATTCATAGGTTGCCATAAGATGCAACTAATAAGTTAATAAAATATTTTGAAAGTCTTTCCGTGGAAAAAGATCGGCTACCATAAGCAAGATTGTCTTACGATTATAAACCGTCTGAATAGGGCTCAAATTGGTTATCTCAGTTTTCCTTTATTAAAATCGGTCTCCTACTAAAAACGCATTAGATAGTTACACAATATTAACCTGACTGTGTCAAACATCGTGACGAGAGAGAGTAGTGTGGTGACGAGCAGCACCATGCGGCCAGGCACGATCTCCGGGATGACGCAGAAGCTGCCCCACGAGATGATGACAAACAGCGACGAAGGCAGGTAGCTCTCCAACAGGTAGCTGCGCAGCTCGCGGGACAGCTTGATCTGCAGACGGGCTGCTGAATGTTCTCCTACAAAATATAACATCACTTAAGACTATCAAACACATTCGACGGACATAGAATTTCTTAGGAGACCACAGATTTTTTAGGACAATACACGTAGCAATTCTAAATTTATTCTTAAGTCTTCTCCAGAAGGAATATTGGGGACTTCACATGTATTTTGGCACTTCTGACATCAGAACGATAATTGGGAGAGGTTCAAGGTGCGTTTTATAAAAGTGCAACTAACACAAAGCATTCCCTACAAGTACACCACACTTTACAAATAAAACTACACAATAAGGATATTTTGGGCTAGCCGCGGATGTTCGGTTGATAAAGAATGTAAGTAATTGTTATTTTAAAGGATTAAATTAACTAAGAAACATATTTTCACTAGGGTAAATATTAAATTGGATATTTGTTTGAACATTTTTTTGTTAATAAGAGTCGAGTCGACTTTTGTTGAGTTTTGTGCAGCACAAAAACTACCAGGAAAAACTCATATCTAGGATCCCCAAACAATACAATTCTAAAGTCTGCCAACCTACATCCTCGTCAGCATAGCAGCAACATGCAACTGCGACAGAGCGTTAGCATAAAAAACATACATGTTATGAGGCGCAAACTGAAGCGCAAAGCAATAAGTATACATTTACCTTCACCAAAATTTCGAATATGATTACTTTTGTCCGTGACGAAGGTGACCACGTACTTCGGCAGCCGGAACTGGTTGCGCTGTTTCCCCACCAGTCCTCGCCAGGGGGCTCCTGCGTGCCACTCGAATCGAACGTCCTCTGATGTGTATTTGTCTAAGAACAAGATGCTTAGTTGCGATGAAAAGCTTTAGTATCTTATACCAATGAAAATAAGATCAAAGTGAGAAAAGCAGGTGATAAAATGGAACACATTCATTTTTAGGGTTCCGTACCTCATAGGAAAAAAACGAATCCTATAAGAGGATTGTCCGTTCGTCTGTCAAGACCCTTTTTATATGATTCAAAAGATCTCTCTTTAATTTCAATTGTAATCATAAATAAAATAAGAAAGAGTTTTTACGAACATTTTGTAGAACATATTACAGAAAATTCGTAAAGGTTAAATGTTATGAACCGCAAAACTAAAATGACTAGATCAGACTATAATTTGTTATAACCTTGATTAACATAATAGCTGAATACATTGTCTATTTTTAAACCCTACTAGCGTAATTTATATTTTACCCTGATTAATGGTTGCCAATTATTAACTGAAACCTCGGCCGTTGATGACATGACGTACATATTTTTATGCAAATCATTGTCTGCTATAGGAAATTACAAAAAATGCGAATCAATAATAATTTTGACCAAGGTTTTTTTATATCATAAGGTGGCAAACAAGCGAGCGGCCACCTGAAATCGCTGAAATATCGAGGCGACCGTTGCCCATAGACACACGCAATTGCATATGCGTTGCCGGAGGAGAGTGCCGTAAAATAACTAATAATCAAAATTGCATGATACTTACAACTACCAAAATCGATAGCACACTTCTGCACATCGAGAGGATACAGAACGAAATCCATTTGGCATTTGATCGTTATAGTAGCTCTGAAATAAATTAAAGTTTACGTTAATATACAATTATTTCTTCAATTATAAACATTTAGTAAAAAATCATAAAAAAATATCAGACAAAGACTGGTTTAAATTTGAGAACCTTGGATAAATACAAAGAATTTACTAACTTAAAAAATAAGTGGATAAAAGAATCCTACTCACCCTATATTAACTGAGACAGTGCTGTTTGAATAGATCCTGAGTGAGGCCATCTCCTGCAGTACGGACATAGTCCTCATAGTTTGCAGCTGCCAGATGTATAGGTCCGGCGTCCAGATCAGCTGCCGGAACTCCCAGGGTAGGTCGATGAAAGGCAGCCCCGGAGGGATCTGCAGCTGACCGTCCTCCCATGACACTTGCAGGAACACGTCCAGTGTTATTTCCTGGAAATCATATTCAGGATTTTATTCCCTCAGAACACCAGATTGTGGATATACAAAACGGAAATGTCCTTATATTTTTAATTCGATTTTTACCACGATATGAGTAGAATATCTAAAAATCTTTTTCCTTTCAAGTCACATATAGATCCTTGCTTTTGTTTTGTAGGTATTTAGTAGTAGTTTGGAGCTGGACCCAAAAGACCTAGCTAGGCGTTGGAGGTGGCGGTTGTGTTCCGAACGGATATCCCGCCTACCCCCTTGTAGGCGCAGTGGCGACCGCCGTCGGTGTCGTCGATTAGTCGGTGCAAGCCCGACACAACCACCTTTGTCGCCGCAACGATGGTATGCGAAAGGCAATTTCCCCACGATAAAAAAGGTACTTAGTAGTAGGTAGAAAGTAAACTGAAGAAAATACCTCTTTATTCTCATCAACTCCAGATACTCGATTGACGTTTATTCCAATGTAAACTGTTGTGTTTTTACCTGAAAAAATATTTATATTAAATAAAAGTATGCAACCACCAATGATTAGAATCGAATATGTATTAAAAGTCTCTCCATATCATGGTGTTAAAAGGTATAAAATACTAGCTGTCGCCCGCGACTCCGTCCGCGCGGGATTAAAAATAGATGTTGGCCGATTCTCAGACCTACTCAACATGCTCACAAAAATTCCTGAGAATCGGTCAAGCCGTTTCGGAGGAATATGGAAACGAAAATTGTGACACTAGAATTTTATATATAAGACGAGAATTTTATATATATAATAAGATAAGATAAACGCACTTTTAAAATTCTTTGGTGAATTAAAGTTTACTATATAATCATTGTCTTTAACTAGGTAATTAGTAATTTATAATTAACACTAATTAGCAGTAATTAAAAAGTACAACGTACAGGATTTGATCCTATCATATCTTTAAGTCAAAGTATCTTTGTCACTAGACTATCGTGACTACGTCGAATGAAATTATAGCTGATTTTGAGCGGTTTTATTGAATCAGTACGAACAGTATTACAAGCAAACGTTTTATGGCAGTACTCGGCGATATCCCCGACGGGAACAGGGTTTTAGCTTTATACGTAAACATAATATCAACTCATTACGATGTCTATAAAAGGATCCAACATTGACTTGAAATTTATTTACTAATTATGACAAAAATGATAATTTTATTTCGTAGTTTTCACCAAGATATTTAAATATTTTTATGTTTATATTCGTAGTGATATTTGTCAGCATTTTAATCTTATTATCTTACTGATATTACAAATGCGAATGTTTGGATTTATAGATGGATGGAAGGATGTTAGTTAGAGAGCATCTTCAGAACAGCTGCATGTATCTCGCTGATATTGGTATAGATTTAGAACAAAGCCTGGAGGAACACATAGGCTACTAATTATTTTTTTATTTTGCCGCGAACGGAGTTGAGGGTTATAGAATGTCGTTTGAGGTTATGATTGGAGACGATGGCTTGAATAATGACCGTCCGAGCGTCGAAAGTATTTTGCTGAATAATGTCCGGCTAACTGGATAGCTGCTTCTAAAATTAGTTCCATCACTTTAATAACATTAATGTTCATCTTACTATAATAATATTATAAATACGAATGTTTGGATGGATGAATGGATGTTTGAAGGTATCTGCGGAACGGCTAAACGCAGTTTGATGAAATTTAGCCCTCATGTAGAACATGGTCTTAAAGAATACGTAAACTACTAAGCATGTTTTTTTTAATACCGCGCAGTCGGAGTCGCGGACGATGTCTAGTTTCAGATATAATAAATAATAATTTAGATTGAGAAATAATTATAGTGTGTATGATTTATGAGATTACGCAAACGAGTAATTAAGAACTTATCAACTTCAAAGGGCGTTTACTACTTTATGACACCCAAGGCTTTTGTTTACAAAATTAACTCACCAGGTGGAATGTTTCTATTGTAATTTTCAGGAATCTTGTACGCGTGCTGGTTCATGTACAGGATCTGGCTGAAAAAAATGTTACAATAAATTAAACATTGAAATAATAAGCGCACATGTTAGTCAATACACTACTTCTATCAAAAATAACAACATAATCACGCCCGTAACCCAAAGGAGTAGGCAGAGACAACGGACCTCTATTTGGCACGATTTTAATGTAACTTTCTTGCGTCTTTTACATTCATACATCTACGCATACGAAGTTGGATGCAGGTTCTCTTAATATTTCTATCGGTTAAAAATGTTAAAAAATCAATCCCTACTTGAGTTAATAAAGAAATAAGTTCCAAATTTAGTGTTTTTTTCTTAACAAAGTGATAAAAATGAAATAAATAAAAATGAGATAGAATTGTTGTCAACCAGTTTACTTAGACAATCGTTGTATAATTAATTCTTTTTACTACAAGTCACGTGCTTATATAAGTTGTAAATATTTGTATGAGTTTTATCATCAAGTACACGACACGATATTTAAACAACATAGTAATGTAGAAATTTAGGAAAGAATAATAAAAATCTTAGCATAATAATTCACACTTAATTATATTTACACAAATCAGCTGACATTCCTTTTATCTGTTTGTATGTTAATATTGTTTACGGACGATTATCGTGTTGTTTATGAACGTTGCAATAATCCTAATAAAGATATGAAGTCATATTAATAATAGGCTCCGAGGTATTTTGTTGATTGTCAATTTTGTTATTTTTGTTTTTGTTTAGAGAAAATAAGAGGATAACAGTTTTGCACAGGTGTTTGACTTGTTTAACTTTTGAGTCTCTGCAATATCAGTTTTAGCTATCAAGCGCTCTGGGCTCGATTTTAACGGCGTTCCTTTTTGCACTGTACCTTTAGTCCCCACTAAAGGTAGGGAATCCATCCCCCCGGAGGGATGTTAACAATGTCATGTGAGACTGTGGTAGTCGCAGACCTGTAGCGTCCAGGGCTTTACCATAGAGTCGGTACTGTGCCCTGCTTTTTATAATATAATCAATCGGTTCGACCTTGAAATAATTTTAATATCATTTTGGTTGTAAGCGCTTCCAAAAGAATGCTGGTTTCTATGCAGGCAAAAAGTGAACGATATTTCAAAGCAGGAAACCGCACATATACATGCTGCGCAAGTATTAAATGTATATAATAGAATTACGTTTCTTCGCTTGGATTAAGACAATGTCCTTTGCTAAAGGCTTATGTGTTTATTTATATACCGACTGCGTGAGCATTTATATAATGCTTCGTGCTTTTGTATTCCTCTAAGCGGATTGTCTACAAATAACTCAAATATATCAATGACCTTTGCAATATAAACATAACTAAGCAATAGTGAAGATAGCTTAAAGTACGTATTTAAGAGTATTCTAGTATTAGCGGTCGCCCGCGACTCGGTGCGGATTTGAAAAAAAACGTATAGCCTATGTGTTCTTCCACACTTTATTCTATACGTATGCCAAGTTTCATCGAAATCCGTTCGGCCATTTTGGAGATACATTCAAACAAATATCCACCAATCCATCTAAACATTCACATTTATAATATTAGTAAGAAGTAGGATATTAGAAAGATTTTTCTATTTGTAAAATGTTTCGATAAGTCGTGTTATCTTGCTTTTGCATTTAGCTATTATTACCAAGACATCTGGTTGTTTGATATTCATTTATTTATGTGATAACTGAACATGTAATGACCATATAAGTCATACACACTTTATAATTATACCTATACTAGCTGACGCCCGTGACTCCGTGACGCTATTATAAAAAACTTAATTAGTAGGCTATGTGTTGTTCCTGACTACATTCTATATCTATGCAGAATTAAATCGGGGTCCGTTCAGCCGTTCTCGAGATATCTTCAAACATCCATCCATTCATTCATCTAAACATTTGGATTTATAATATTTTAGTAAGATATTAAGAAGTAAGATGCTTCAAGGAGACAGTCAAAGGAGAGAAGAGGCAGGCTTAAGCCTATTTAGTGGTAACTATAAGTTGAAAAAGATAATAAAATAGATTGTTCAGTGATTTAATACATCAAACAAGCTGTCGATTCGGATAGTGAAGTACATAAACGATTATCCGTTTATCCATTCACTCACAGTTTACTTATCGATATTGCATGATTACACTTTAAAGGTTACCGTGGTCGAGACGTGGTAAATATTTTGACATCCACCATATTGAAATAATTCAAACTATTATACCTTGATATTTACGTCATCATCACGTCAAATTAAACAACGTTTTAATAGCCGTTGACCCCCAATAACGTCTTTGGCAGAAATGGGCCGGCTCAACTGGTGAAATATTACGACTACAGAGAAGTTCTTCTGAGTAGTGAGTGTTACAGTCCTATTTTTTTATGCCCACCATTTTCTTATAAGAAAAGGATGGGAAGGAAATCCACCTCGGATTTGGCACTCATAGTAAGGGGAAATATCCTCATTCATTGTCTTTCCTTCTATAATAATATAGGTAAGCATCTGCAAATGCAAATATTTATGGGTAACAATCTCTTTGCTATTTAGGCGAAGTATGGAGGCCGTTAGTTCGTTTGCTACTCCTTATATATAAAATTCTCGTGTCACAATTTTCGTTCCCATACTCCTTCGAAACGGTTTGACCGATTCTCATGAAATTTTGCGAGCATATTGAGTAGGTCTGAGAATCGGCCAACATCTATTTTTAATCCCGCGCGGACGGAGTCGCGGGAGTAAAAAGTAGCTAGTTTTGATATAAAGATAAAAAAAGGTTTCTAAAAGAAAATACAAAACAACTGCAATTAATGTCCAAGAGTTAAATACGACGTCCAATTTTTTTTTCTGTCGATGTCATATCTGTAGGGATTTATAACCCGGTACCGTCTTTCGAAACATGTTTCGAATTACTACTGACTATTTAACCCTATAGTTAATTTACTTTAAATTTTTTATGACATGGAATTGGCTATAATAATGTAAAACAAAAGAAAATCTCCATATAATTACATTAAAGTCAGGCTTTCCCTCCAATCACATAACGTGGCATGTGAACATTCTCGCATGCAATTCTGCCTACATAATTACCTTTACATGAGTTTGACCGCTAATCTTTGTTCATATAAGGCTGACATTAACTAATGTCGTTAAGACATGCCTTTTTTAACCGACTTCAAAAAGGAGGAGGTTCACAATTCGTCTGTGACATGCCGACTATTTTTTTTAAATTATTGTTTGTCGATAACACCGACCATAGTTGTCCGATTTTCATATCATGCGGCAAACGAGTAATTGAACTCCGACCACAAAAATACGCTGAAATGTAGAAACGACCAATAGATATTGTTGCCTACCTTCAATCGAAGGTGGAGGAGACGCACAAAAAATAATATTTATCCTTCCTATGTCCCATCCTACATCAAATCCACTTTCTCTTTCCTTTGGCTATGTCACATACATAACTTAGTTCAAATTATTTATAAAAAACTACTTTATTGACACTTTTATTAGCACACTTCTTCAGTATACAATATATTCAGCAAAATTCACTCATTTTTAATAATTACCAAAACAATAGCCAAAAATTGTAAGCGCCTTTTCGCGTGCGTGAAATAATCGTGGGTCATCTGTCACGGATAACAACAGACTAGAACTGACAGTTTATACAACATAAATATAAACAAGAAGCATAGCAAAGCTCTGGAAATTAATTTTAAAGATGCCAAAGAATTTTTGACAACCCTAAAATGTAGCTGGAAATATATTCGAGTTTTATGGAAAGAAAGTATGAAAATTCGCTATTAAGCATTTTTCTAACTAATTTTTTAAAATAGGTTATTCTTAACCTTCTACTTATTCTAGAAATGACATTGTTGTCATGATGAAGACCCTGTAGATATAATGAGGTCAAATTATTAAGTACCCACATTGTTGGATTAAACGCATAAAAATATCAACTGGTAAATAAAGGTACAGGGCTATAGGGGTGTCATAGTTAGCAAATATTCTTTATAATAAGTGGTTAGTGTTCTAAGGTATTTATTACCCGGATGACGTAGTATGCATATAAATTCCATTGTAACGGCTTAGAGGCTAACCGTGGGTTTCTGACGTCAAAATCTCGATATAAAATGTATCGTCAAAGATAATAATATGTTTTAAATGGAGCTTTCGGATTCAGAAACCCATGGTAAATGAATGAATCTATTTTGACGAATGTGGTGTTTTTTTATTCGTATACTTTTGAGCAAATAGTTACTTTTAATATTTTATAGTTAATTTTAATATATTATACTAACAAGGATTGTTTATTATTTAATAATTTAAGTAGACTATTATGTTTACTAGTTGTACAATATATTTATAATGAGATTAAGTGTACATAAGAGGTTAAATCGTATTATAAGTAGTTATAGCTAGGATGTAATGCAGTTATTTTTTTAAATCTATAAAGACAAGTGTATGACAAGAAGTAAGTGTTCTTAAACCAGACTGGACACAATGTGGAAGAATTTTCTAATGATCGTAGAACCTTAATAATAATGTCAATCTCAAGAAGCTCTCGCTACACAGTTGGATTAAGGGCCCGATACAAAAGGCAGTTATCCTAGAAACCGCGCGCATCGTGAGAAGGTTCCTGTCTCTGCAGCCCTGACCACTGGTTGTTTGAGTCATGGGATTTCGCAGCCGGTGGTGTTCTATTTTTAAGAAAATATACCTATATATTATTTTGATATGCATTGTACGATATTAGAAATATGATAAATAAATGAATACGTTACATATGTCAATTTTATTTATGAATGGTGTTGCAACGAACATCAGGCTCAGAGAATCTGTAATTATACGAGTAACTTTTATTTCATACTACGTATAATAAATTCAAAGACAATAATAAAAATATAGAACAGCTACTTGCAGAGTGTACCTTCTTAAATGTATTAATTTGATCATTGTAGCACATAAGAACTGAACCATTTGACAGTGTAGTAACAAAGCTATCCGATGCATCTGTATTGGACGGAGTCCAGATTGTCTGACGTCTCTAATTACAAGTGCACTGCATATGCGTATGAATGATTTGTATGTGACATAGGTTATGAGTTCTATATATTTTTTTTATAACGGCAGGGGGCAAACGAGCAGCGGGAACACCGAGATGTTCAACGACGCCCATGGACATCAGCAATACCAGAGAAACTGCAGATGCGTTGCCTTAGTTTCCTACTAACTTTTAGACATTATTAGTTAGAATTCTTTGGAGCGAATGGCGCCCTTTCGTTCCCAAGTCAAGTGTCAGCTTGATTTAGTGAGGGGACATAAACGTTGAAATTTTAATAAGGCTAATGTTGTGCCGATACACCGGCACGGTGTCGGATTTTCTTCCTAACATTACGTGAAGTACAATAGTGTAGAATTTTAACTACTATGAAGATAGGCTATAGTATGCTTGTACATTCGTAACTTTTTTTTTTGGTCATACTTGATGTAATTTCTTTACGCGTAGACATTTTTATTTACTATGTATAAGTATATAAGTAATTATCTAGACAGATGGCATATAATAAAATCTAGATATATGTATGTAATCTGTGTCTCTGCGAGTGTAATAAAACAATAGCGCTTTAAATACCTTTTACCTTGATCTATTTATTTTATATTTCTAGTAATTGAGTGTTTCATTGTATGGATAAAAACTTTTAGTGCTAAGGATCATAATTTACTCTTTAATTGTTAAAGCAAATTATTACAGCTTAAAATTTACCACCCTTCCTTTTCCTTAGTCATCAGCAGCAGTAATCTGAAGCCTATATTTTTCGTTAAAGTTGACTATACGTTAATCAATCACGATGGTCCAGTGCGAAGTTAATTGCAATATATTAATATAGATTTATTATGAGAAACCAACACTAAATATCTGCTGAACGAAATAAACAACTTGAGTGAGGATTCATTTGTTATGTTATAATAAAGAGGTGTTACGATGTGTTTACTACATTACTAATAGAACCCCCGAGATGTTTGTAGCATCAGTAACGACCTTGAGCGCACAGACGCGGCATGATCGCAATCGCAAATAATCCCCGCAGACGTGGTACAGTCTGTAACGAGAGTGGTATTCGGGGCGAGGGTTTATTTCTGTTGTGACAGTAACCGCGGCGGGTCGGTCGCGTTATATTTGGGTTATTAGTGACGCAGATAGCTGTGATAAACTACTTCAATTCGGGCGCAACGCCACTGAATAGCTATTGTTGTCATCAGGTCAATGCGATTCATTACCATTTCTGTTTAAGTGTGGAGTTTTAGTTCTTATTGACATCATCTTATCTTACTGACATTATAAATGCGAATGTTCTGATGGATGTATGTTTGTATATATTTCTAGAACGGTTGTAAGGATTTCGCTGAGATTTGGTTTTTTATTAATACCGCGCGGTCGGAGTCGCGGGCGACAACTAGTTACCTAATTATAAATGTAAAAATCTTTATGGATGTTTCAAGAAAGGCTTAGGAATATGGATGAGATTGGAATTGAAATAGATTGCAATTTTCAATAGTATACACTCTCGTTTTTAATTTTAAAACACACAAACTAAGTGGCGTATATTCCAGTAGATTTTACAATATCTTACTAATGCGATACAATAACGTGATTAGTAAATATAGAATAATAAAAATACACTCACGAATGCAATGTTAAAGGTTCCACAAGATTTCTTTGTCTAATAGATTGCATGGAACTATAATAACATTGGTTGTCGAGATGATTTTCTATAACCCATGAATTCATTTATTGTGTGAACACGAACCACAGCTTTTAGATTAAACAATAATGCATTGGACACTGTATACTTTGCAAAACAGTTTGCACCGTGAATATCGTGCAACATGTTGACAGCGGAAATGTCTGTCGAGCGTGCATAATGTTTTGTACATCTTTATTGAAGAAAACAAATATAAAATTTCTGATATACAACAAATAAACAAATTTTAATGCAACTTTAAATGCAACAAATTATTCTTTTTTTATATCTTATATACAGATTTTTAACTCAACCCTTTCCAGCTGACTAGCTGGAAAGGGTTGAGTTAAAAATCTGACTAGCAGCTGAATAGCTGGAATGGGTTGAGTATTAAATATCAGAATATACTACTAATGTTTCGACAAAACCTGATGTACTGGATTTAAATCTCATACGGAACTTACAAACTTAGTTAATGAACTTACAATATAGGAACTGACTTTTTAGCATTTAAAACTGTGCAGTTAAAACTGAAGGTGTGTAACGGGCTTTATGCAGTACTAAAATATATTTGATCGTTTTATGCTATGTTAATGTATTTTCTATTTTACATCTATTAATGTCTTGTAACAATGCAAAAATATACTATAGTATACTTAGCCTTAGAATTACTAGAAAGTTGCTAAGGAATTAGTAGTTCCTATACATTTTTACAGGTAACTTTCCGCGTTCAAGTAATTGATTCTTCGTTACTTCTAGGTAAACGTTAGCGATACTAGAAAACACATTCTCATAATAAACGGACACAACAGTACTTATTAAATATATTATTATTTTCAACTCCCCCTAATTTCCTTTCTTTCGACATAAACATAAAGTAATACAGTGTATATTGACCATGATATGCAACATGAAAGAGACATCGTATAAGTAAACTTCAAGAATTATTTTTTAGAGTATTGAATATAAGGATTTTGTTTTAATAAGTAAATTTTAACAAACAGAGACTTGAGAATATCCTAAATGACTTGTTAACTGACTGACATAGTTTAAGCTCGAAATATACATAATAATTTTTCACTCGATGTAAACAAAGTTGCAAGTATATTCAACTTTTGTACCCAACCAATGAAGCTTCGACAACGTTTTTTACGCTGTAAACGAGTTTGGTAAATGACGATTTTGGACAATACGGAAACTTACATTGAGTTGGACAAATAAAGTGCATTCAAACAGCTACTAAGTACGTAGCTATATCATATTTTTATACAGTGGTAGACGCCTGCAATAACATCTGCTGCACGAACAGACTCGACCGGTACCGCGACCACGCAGGAAAGAGGCGTCAGGTAGTAAAAAACTCATCGAACATTTATCTAGTTACAATTAAAAATGTCAATATCGTCTGGCTGTTTGATCAAAAATATGCCAGATAGCATCTGGGCAAGCTCACTCGATCTCCTCTACGATATGCCGAGTGGTGGGAGACATGTTTATGTCAACAACTGGCCTTGCCAAGGAGACAAAGTGGATTTTCAAACTGCAAGATTTCAGTCGCTGAAATTCAGCCGAGGGAAAGCAGTTGCCAGATTTTTAGAGACGTTTAATTTAAAACATTTGAATTTATATTATTAGTGTCAAATCAACACATTACAACATAACACATATGTACGCTTTTTAACCGTAATTTATTTTTATAAACCTAAATAATGGTAGTTTTAAATGATGTTGAGAGTACACCAAGATATATAATAATTATTTTTCACTCAACAATACGGGCAAACAGCCATGTCTGGCGTGCTCATCTGAAATTATTTCTGTAGCTCATTCGAGGTCTCACTTCTAATAACTACATTTGTTATATTGCAATTACTAGTCACTTTTTGCATTCATTATATACTCATTGAGTTCTACGAACCTTGCACACTCTAGTAGCTCCTTGTTTGGCGCGAAAGTGGCCCCGCCACCGAGAGCGACGAACGCGCCTAGCAGTACGAGGAGGGTCCACATGTTCTGGAGGCTAGGGGTGCGCGGGCCGGCGCCGCCTGAAGCCTCGCGCGCACACACTCACTAAACACAATCGTCGCCTGCACATGATCGGCTAGAGGCACATCACTAGCGGGTCGCGAGCGCCGAGGTCCCAGGTCCGAGAAGCGGCGAGCGCGGCGCGATACTGCGCGGTGCTCGCCCGGCACTGTAGCGACGGTGGCGGCGGGCGCGGTCACGGGCGTAACCTTCGCTTCCGCGCGATCTCACCCTGTGATGTGGCGCGGGAACTAATTCGCGACACGCTTCGAACGTAGCCCGCTACGTAGCGAGCTCTGCACGCGACCGTGTGGCAGAATAATCACACTCGACTTTGCCTTTTATAAAAAAGAATGCAGCAAGTTTATTGTTGTGGCATTGCTCACGACTTTATGGCAGAATGTCACATCAAATATTTGCCTTTCCAAAAAAAAATGAAAAACGTAGATTACATTACTTTTATCCCAAAGTTCTGCGAATAACTAGAGGCATAACATCACTTTACTTAAAAATAAATCGATTTATCACTTTTATTTGTCTTGTTATCAAAACACAAGAAATAATAAGCTAGTTCTAATTGTACCAGATATGGAACATAAAGAACAACTAAGGTTTTAGGAGCGTGTTAAGTTTGCGTGACAGACACTGCCGTGCCCAAAAGTTAGGCAACATTCAACTTTGCAAATATACTAGCAGTGACTATAATACAAACAACAGTCATTAAACAGACAGGATTGTAACATCATTTACACGTTCTTTAACCGCTATTAATATTTGATTAAATATTAAGGTACTAATTGTCACTCATTGATAACATTCATTAACATTAAATTTTTAAGTTATAAATATCTGCAACGATTTAAGTTTTTAAGAATATTTACATCTTCTGATGGTGCCTCTACAACGTTGAATGTTGGCCGTCAACTTTTAAAATTTTTTTCGGTCGCCAACGTGGCAAAACAATTCTTCAGTTGAATAAATACTCTGTCCTCGTCCATTCTCTGATGTTTCGTAGCCATGACTTTATCCTTCATCAAGTGTGTCTCTTTTCTTTGTACTAAAATGAAAAACGTAACTTTATTACTATCCACATGCCTTTCACCATAGCTCGGTCATTACTCTATATCCTAGGCTCGCAACGTAGAGTAAAGAAAATAAGCAACATGTTACAGAATTTAAAAAAACTGTAAACGGTACATTAGAACATATTTGTAGCACATTTATTTTTTAACATAATTCAAATAGAGTCTTCTTGAAGTATCTTAAGATGAGTACAAAAAGTTTGAATCTGTTTTTAAGCTAAGCAAAATATTTGTTTCTGGCAGCTAATAATACTTAATGTGTTGGAGAAAAAAGCTATAGGTTCTCCGTAATTATATTAATGGATGATTTTGATGTAAATGCAGTTAGCAGACTATGTAACGAGATGTGATGTGACGCAATGTAGGTGAACTTGCATTTCATTGGATTCACTTTGTCCCTGCAATGTCGATCCAACCATCATTATAACATGACTGGCAGCTAATAAATAAATGCATCTCAAAGTAATTGAAAAAAAAAAAACATCGAACATGTTTTTAAAAAATTACATTAGTAATTGGAATTTCTCTAATTAAGTCTATAGTATATTTGAAGAGTTTATAAATGTATTTTGGTGTTGGCATTTTTTGTTACAACCTGTAGCTCAAATAAAAGCTTAACTGATTTTAAATCGTGCGGTATCCGTGTTAATTACCACGTACAAAGACATGGTTAATTTATATTGCAGAAAAATGTTGGCTTGTTGGAAGCAATTAATATCTATTCGAAAACAAATATAGCAAAAAAATGTATTAACTAAGCCTCTATCAACCGAATACTAAAACTAATCTTAAAATAAGCGCCGCTTACTGTCGGATTACGAAAATTCAATAGAATTTTGGACTTTAAGCGTGGGTTTCTGAGACAAAAACCTCTGAATAAAACATATCGTCATCACTGTCATTATCTTTGACAAAATAAAGATGTTTTAAATGGGTACTTTGGTCTCAAAAACCCACGATAAGACGCTGTTACATATTTAATCGTCATTTCAGTATGCGGCCGTATAACTATCGAATTGCAAAACTTTGTTTTTGAAGCGTGTTACGTCTCAATCATAAGTGCTAGATTTAAATCAGTAATCAGCTGTGATCGATTCAATTATATAAGAGGCATTTCAATAAACACGTCAGTCGCCTCCAAGCGAACTGCTTACGATGTTCCGTATTTGTTAATTACGTATAAAATTGTAATTACATACTAAGTTAAATTATAATAATGTTAAAATTGAAAATTTTTAAATTTCGTCGGCATGTTTGTTTATTTAGGTAATGTTAAGTCTCCGCGACTTGTCAAGTCTTACAAGTTAACTCTAGATAAATAAAAAGGCTTGCCTACATTATGCCTAACAATAGGCGAAGTTATTTTTATTTTAAATTATTTTTTGAGTGTAAAAGCGATGAATGGAATGTCATTGATATTGTGTCCGTGCTTACTCCCTAGCAATCTTATGTACGACCTTTGATAATCATAATTTAGCAGCCAAATCTTGATATATGACATTTTAAACATGATTTAAAGGCTCGCTATAAATACATGGGCATGTTTTGATGCGTGATGCGTGCGGTGCGATGACGTAGACAGCAGTCTTACGATCCAGATGGAATTATGACGCTTCACTCATTATATAAGACTGTAAAGTAATATAATTATGAAATGTAAAAATATAAACAGATAATGGATAAAATAAATTGAAATAGAGACAGTTATTACTTCTTTTGTTACGTCTAATGTAACAGAGCAAAAGTAAGTAACAATTTCATATTAAATTGCGTCATAGTCACATAAGATGCTATCTCGTATTAAGCCAGTAATTTGTTAATCAGTAGTTATATACAGAAAAAGGACATTAACATTCTAAGTATTGTAGCATTGGTACAAATAAAAAACATTATTCGTGTTTGGGTTTTGTTTAACTTGAACACACAAGAACACTAGTAAATGCGCTATACGAATCTAATACATGAAAACATTTAATTTTATTATGGACGTGGGTTTATTTAGAAAACGCATTTCGCGATGACAGTTATGTCAGACACAATAAAAAGATTAAGATACAATAAAAAAAACATCCCGATAGTGTAAAGAATCATCACAGATTAGTTTTATTACCTTCAGCGAGATTTAAATATGATCGGTCTGTGAATTCGAGAACAAACAAGGTCAACTACATTAGCGAAGTAAATTTGCGGCACGTGTTATCGGATTACGAAAGAAAAAAAAACATAATGTTTCTTTGTTATTTCAGCGGGATGGTATTTAAAGAGCGCAGACGACTGTTCATCCGGGACGTCACGGGATTGTTCCGGGACGTGGCAACGTATGCGTAGGCTAATTTTTTTCACGTCTGGCCACTGGCCAGGTGTTTTGGCGGTCTTTGTCAATGTTAGATTTATTAATACATCGCATTGTAGATACTCCGACATTGCTAATAGTCTGTCCTTTATTATAATTACGTTAATCTCTTATCTATTTCCTGTATTCGATGTGTATCGATTACTTTAATTGTCTATGACTTTATTATATTCTAACTGGTAGCAATATCTTAGAGAGGATGGTATTGTAAGCGAAAAAGTTATGGAACAATCCGGTAGATGAACAATGTAGAAGTGGTAGCTTGGAGGCAAAATTTCATGGAATAAATCTTTACGTAATTTTAGAGAAAGTTGTGTTACTGAGGCAAATAATTGCCAAATTCTTAAAAGTGTGATGTTTGAATTGTTCCACTTATTTTCTATTACAATATTATTTTCGCTAAACACATTACATAAAATGGGACATTGTTATCCAAAAACATGAAATAAATTAGAATGAAAATGTAAAACGTAAAAGCGACAAACAAGAAACGTTATTTGCAGAACTGCAAAGAAGCTAACGAGGTCCTCTATATTTAGAGATAAGATGGCAAATTAAAGAGCACGGACAATTTCTTCGATCTTTCTCAATAAATTAACGTTAAATCCTTTGAGTGAAAACAACGTATGCGACGTGACATAAATAGAGATGAAATTCACAAGAGCAACATGTGTTTAATTATATTTGATACGAAGTATTGTGATTACAGTTAATAGTAATAAAAAACAAATAAGATATTATGACATAATTTGAATATAATTAAACAAACGTTGATAAGATGATAATAATAATAGTAGGTCAAAATATTACGATAAAATATCATATTCCTCTTGAGATCGCTCAAAACAAAGAAGAAACGAGAAAATAACAGAGAGAGAGAGATAGAGAAAGTGAGAGACATAGATTTGATTCACAAAATCAACGTCAACGAAACAACGAATTTATATTATTTTCGGCCAGCTTTAAACCTTTCCAGGGAGTATATCATGACATATGAGTGGGAACAGCCCGCAATATGTCAATATTAATTACGTAACACCGTCTGGTATCTGAAAAATTTAATTATCTGTGCGTTGTGAAGCGAGTGGCCGAAATAAACTGTATGCGACGATCGCTGCCAGATCCCAGGCGCGTGCGCATCGCACTCAGTGCCAGACTCGCTACGTGTATCATTTGCTAAAGGAATTATGACTCTTCACTGTACTTAAGTATCATCAACATTAATAATGGGTTAATTAGATGTAATGATTGACTGTATTCTTTGAGAATTGCCAGTTTTGAATTGGTTGAATCATATTGGTAGATTGCTATTATATTTTAACAAATATTATCCGTAAGTCTTTGAAAGTAAAGCGATTTTGAGTATAACGTTTTAATTAAGAATGTTACAAAACAAAAGAAAATATAAATACCATGCAAAATATAGTAATTAGAAATTCTACATAGAGTCAAATAAGTAAAAAAAATACGGGATTATTCAGGATTATTGTAGTTGAACTATGCTCTTTTTGTCCAAGTTTTTTTTTCTAGTATTTTTAAAAAAAATATGCTAATATTAACGATTGTTCAAACGCAAACATTAATTTCAATCAAACATTTAAATTAAGTTAGTCTATTATTCATGGCATATATTATTTAATCGGGTATGTAAAATAGAGTACATAACTTGCGTGCATGGTCATATGCAATAGGGGCATAATAAATTGCTAAATATGTACATACTGTAGTGTACTTTTTATATTGGTAATTATGAC